TTAATTTCGACATACGGCATGTGCTTACGGCAATGTTCAAATAAATCCAGCACGGTATAAATAAGCGACTATGTAAGCAAATCTCACCTTCCTACGCAACTTAAGCCCTCAGCAAAGCTCTGGACCTAATGAAGAATGTGGGATGTCACGTGAACGTGAAATGCGCTACACCTTTTTACGGCCAAATATAGAAATAGTGCACACAGTTCAGTAATAGCGCAACCGATTTCGACAGTTCGGCATAGCGCACCTCTAGTTCGGCCAAGTGCATGATATTCGGTAATAGTGCACACGTTTCAAAAGAAGAGCAATCAATTTAGAAGATGGTGCGATCAAATTCAGTGAGGTGTAGGTTCAATTTCGTCATCGTGCACGGTTTCGTCATGTGGCCTGATAGTCGGCGTCCAGCAAAGCGATTTAGGCGATGTTCAAGTGAATTCGCTGCTAGATTGGGAAAATATTTTTGAAAGCCCCTATCTGTCTGTCAAGAGTAGCGTGAATCTTGTTCAAAAACCTGCTCAAATGCAGTTTCAGCTCTCAGGAATTAACTTATCATTAGTCTCGCTCTAAGAACTCGGTGACACGTTCAAGTGGCGGTCACGTGGCACTCAGGGCTTCTGAATCGGGTGCATAACTTCGTTGCTGGTTCAAAAAGATCAGAAATGCTATGGATTCTTGTTATCGCCATTCAGCATCATGGCGAATTTGATTGAACAAAGCCGAAAAAATATTGCTCATGCCGAATATAAAAGCACCCGACGAATTATGTGCACTATGTCTTATATGATTGAAGCTAAGACACCCAGATGAACTATTAAATACCCTTTACCTTTTGCATTCAGAGCAGTGCAGCTGGCTACTTGACTTTTTTGCGTTGCTGACTGACTACGAGTGTCATTGGAGGCTCAGGTAGCGTGAAATGTCAAATAAAAATAGTTATTATTTATCTATGCAATGCCGTCTTACTGAACAGTGCCTAAATTACATGCGAGACCCCGAAATTGAAACGATCTGACGAATAATGTGCGATATGTCTAATATGCCTGAACCTGTGTCACTTTAAACCTGCACTATGACGAAATGGCTGCAATATGGCGAATATTGTGCCGCGATTCAATATATGAATGCACTATGCCGTACTGTCGAAATCGCCTGCACTATTTTTGAAATGTGTGCACTGCCGCCTAAATTGGGCCTTTTCATTACATTCATTAAAATCTCATTAACTTTATTAGCGGTAAAATTTCAATAATTTAGTAAAATTTCATTAGCAGCTTGTTTGAACGGCACCACGCTATACTTGATGAACAGCAAGAGCGTTGTCAAAAATATTTTCTAGATGGGGCACCGAATTCGTTTGAAGGTTAACTAAATTGCTTTGCGGTACGCCGAATACCAATGCATATGACGAAGCAATGCACTCTGGCGAAACTGAATTCGCAACTACTGAAAATGAATGCACTCTCTTTTAAATTGCTTGCACTGTTTCGGAGCCGTGTGCACTATTACTGAATTTCATGCACTCGGCCCAAGAAGCGGTGCACTATGCCGAACAGTGGCGGCGGAAGCAGGGGGGCAAGGGGGGCAGCTGCACCCTAAAGCTATGGAAAGGGGCGCCTCGAAAATCTGTAGAGGAGGCAGGAAGTTATAAGAGGTGCGGCGGCCATAAAGCTGAGCAGTGCGACACCGCAACTGATAAAGGCACTTGTGACACGAAGAGGGTGGCAATGACTTGGGAAAAGTATCTTTTGATATGCTGAAGAGTGGAGGGCATCCTTATCTGAAACAAAGGCAGATGCTGCCGACCCTGTCGAATATAATCTTGCCAGGCGATAAAGGCTAGGAGGGCGCAGCCACTCGAGAAGCGCGCCATGCGGAAGAGGGGCGCCTGCATGCGAAAGAGGGGCGCCTGTGTGTGGGACGAAAAAGAAACATGTATGGAGACGTCTTTGAAGGCGATAGCCTCCGAACGCCAACACGAACATATGAGGGCTTATAGCGTTGCAGGCTCCATGCGACAAAAAGGGGCGCCTGATGGCCGATATGCGAGAGGAAATTAGTTTGTGTAACATTTATCGGGGGCGGTTTGCCGTTTACAAAATATGAATGTTAAGGGAGGTCCGAGATTGGGACCTGTAAAATTGCACTGTCCGTATGGGCGGTTACACCCCTAGTGCTAGGGCGTATTTTGCGTTTTTTACTGGGGAGATGATTATGACCAGGAATAGCATTCTGCAAACTTCTATGGGCGCCTGTATAGGGGCGAAACTGATTTTCCAGTGCAGAGACGGCCATCGGCATTGTTGGGCGGCATTCATTCCACTGGGGCGTCTGCCAGTGTTGAAGGGCGGTATTCATTTCAATGGGGCGCCCGTTGGTGTTGATTGGCGACATGTATCACCTGGGGCGCCTATCGGAGATTGGGGCGGCATTAATTTCACTGAACCGTGGAACTCTTTTCGATATGCCTTATTCGGAGAATCTTATGATATGGTGATGAGGTTGTTTCTAAACGAACATTATGAAGGTTACATTTACGCTATGGAATGTACCTAACTATTTCTCGTTACATAAAAACTGTAATTCTGAACGTATTAACAGGTACAACACATTGTCAAACGTCTCTCCACTGTTTGTGTTACTACAACCGTGTATATGGTAAGGGGCGCCCAGCGGGAAGGGGCGCTTCAATATCGTTTGCACCCCTATCCTAGAATACCTTCCGCCGCCACTGATGCCGAACTGTTGAAATGGTTGCACTATTTCTGAACTGTGTGCACTTTTTCTATATTTGGCCGTAAAAAGGTGTACAAATACAGAAGCAACGTGTACCAATCCCATCGCCTTTTTTCTTCCACCCGTATTTAATTGATCGCATATAGGGGATGTACTGAGTAGAAGCCGGAGCCGGAGCCGCCGGAGCCGGATCATTTTACTCGGAGCCGGAGCCGGAGCCGGAGCCGCCATGACATTTCACCCGGAGCCGGAGCCGGAGCCGGAGCCGATTTTTTTCTCCGGAGCCGGAGCCGGAGCTGGAGCCGTCTGAAATTTCCACGGCTCCGCATCCCTGGTTTTTTTACAATTCAAGTCCCAACCTTCGGATCCGCAGTGCTGTTCGACAAGCGCTGCCCGGGCCCGCCTTACAGTTGAATTAAAAACAGCTACCCAAATCTACCCAAATAATACAGATAAAAATACAAGTCAATCACCCAAACTAATGCACCCGTAACATAACATAAATCAAAACATATAGTTATCGCGTAAACCTGTACCTCTAGTTAAAGATTAAACATGCTAGTTGACTAGATCTTATATAAAAGGTCCGTTAGACCTTGGGAGGCATGACACTGAAGTTAGCACCTTCCATCCTATCAGGTGTTCAGCTACGATACTATTGTATGGGCAGGTTTTTCACCTGCCTCATAAGGCCAAATAATTACGAGCGAGCGAGCGCAGCGAGCGAAGCGAAGTCTTTTCAATATAACGGAAAAATCTCAGTATGAGCGGCCCGGCCCGGCCCGGCCCGGCCCGGCCCGGCCCGGCCCGGCCCGGCCTGTAACGCTTTTGAGAGGCTTATATCTCAGCAACCGCTGAGCCGAATGACCTGCGGTCTTTTTTGCTGGGTAGCCCCATCCCTTCTACCCCGTAATTGACTACTTTTGATACATCTCAGTGACCGCCGTGGCACGTGCCACGTGAAAAGTCAAGGGTGTTCAAGCAGTTTTGCAAAATTAATGATTTTGAGGGGCCCATATCTCAGCAGCGGCTTGAGCGATTGTCTTGCGGTCATTTTTATAGGGTAGCTGCATCCCTTCTACCAAAGGTCGGATACTCTTCATCTATGTGAGTGACCCCCACTGCACGTGCAAAATACAACAATAAGAGGTGCCAAATTTGTTCCCATTTCAGTAACTCTGTAATTACTGGGGCGATTTCGCTGAAACTTGGCATACAGGTAGGCACCCACCAGGCAATGCATTCCCATGTGTTGCGGTTGGGGTGCTACTGCACGTGCGCACGTGCAGGGGGCGTTTCCAGATCTCGAGAACGGCTGGGCCGATTGCGCTCAAATTTGGTACACGGTTGGGGACCGGTTAGTAGGGTGCCGTGCAAAAGTCATTTTGGACCCCGTTTGCACGTGCGCACGTGCAGAATGCCGCTTCCAGATCTCAGGAACGGCTGGGCCGATTGCGTTCAAATTTGGCACACCGCTAGCCACCGGTTAGAAGGGTGCTTTGCACAAGCCCGTTGGAAGTACCCTCTCGCCCTTCTGCACGTGCAGGGCTCACTATCTCGCTCGCTCGTTCTTCGCCCAAAAGGCGTTTTACTGGTAAATTATTGCAATGCAAATGTTAACAAAATACTTCCTTTGCCATCCAGTTGCTGAGAAAAGTACATATAAATGCATAGAAACATACCGTTCGCCAGCTACCGAACATTAGGAAGTTGGTAGTCCGAACAACACACGAGGTAAAACGCCCCATGGGGCTTTTTGCCCCGCGACCTACTGGGGCGTTTTACCCCATCACGTAGTTCGGTCAGAGACCAATGCCTTGCACTCCAGGAAGACATGATTTAACACGAACCAACCCGGCATTATAAGCGTTAGACAATAGTTGTTCAAAATACATAAAAGTCGTTAACCTGATGTGGACGATAAAAGAACGCCATGATGCATAATCTGACAACAAAACATAAAAATCGCTCCAAAAACACATTTTTGGCTATATCTCCCTAAGGAGTCATCACAATTTATTTCCAGTCTGCTCACATAATTATCGTATAGTCATGCACGTTTTATAGAAGAGAGGATGTTTCCCCAGAACCTTGCCAGTTCCGAGAAACATCGGTGAGGCGTTTTACCTCGGCGGGGCGACTTGCCCCGGTCTACCCTACCGACTTCGAGGCCTCGGGGAACCCTGTACGACTATTTCCCGCTCACCACTTATGCTCGACTTTTGAGTAATGACTCACGAACGCTCCCGCTTTGTCCGTTTCAGCGTCCACTCCGCGATGCAAGCGGTTCGAGTTTGAGTGTCACACCGGCGAGTGTTTGGCCATCTATAACGCCTGTGACGGCATCCCGCAGTGCCAGGACGGCAGTGACGAGGCCGCCGAACTCAACTGTCCCGACCGTGAGCACTGGACATCGCATTGTCATTTACTCGTTCATTCATTCATTCATTCATTCATTCATTCATTCATTCATTCATTCATTCATTCATTCATTCATTCATTCATTCATTCATTCATTCGTTCGTTCGTTCGTTCGTTCGTTCGTTCGTTCGTTCGTTCGTTCGTTCGTTCGTTCGTTCGTTCGTTCGTTCGCTTGTTCGTTCGTTCGTTCACTCGTTCATTCATTCATTCATTCATTCATTCATTCACTCATTCATTCATTCATTTATTCATTCATGCATTCATCCATTCATACCTGCATGCATTTGCTCATTCGCACATTCATTTGTTCGTTCGTTCATTCAATACTACGTCTGTTCGTTCATTTGTCATTCATTTAGCCTAGAAAACTCCACTCAACATGACATCTCTATCTTACCGTCATTGAATTGGAAACTCACGTATGTACATATTTTGTAAAGCTTGTAAAATATAGGGCTGAACAGTGGAACTAAACGCTCTAATAGCTAATACAGTTAAGCGAAAGCAACTTCATAGGGCACAGAGCAAGGATCACTGATTACGAGATGCAGGTAAAGAGAGTATCGTGGGGTTAGGAAGCAAAACGTGTGAATACGGAACAAAGTACGAATTGCAGGACACGTGTACCGAGTGCGGAACCTTTGGCACGGAGCACAGCATTGAGCTGCTTCGGGAATGCTTGAACGGCGCAGACGGTATTAACCTGTCGAGAGCGTCGTGTCGTATATCGTGTCGAGAGCGGCTGCTGCTTGAGTTGCTTCCGCCCCTTGAGGCAAGGCCTCGTCTAACATGTTAACTGGGGGGGCCAAACCCCCGCAGTCACCAGCCTGCCCCCCCCCCCCCCAGTCAGGACAAAAAGTCACTACTGGGGGGGCCGGCAATAGCGAAAGAGCAAACGAATTTTTACTGCAAGGCGTCAGTGCACATCAAAACAAACACGTAAACGACACATGGATGCAATGTGAGCACATTGACCCGATTACCTAGGGTAGTTATCAAGTGTTTATTTTGTTTACCTGAACCTTTTTTCGCTCAGCAATACGTTATATTTTGTCTTTTCAGGCGGCCCAACTCCGTGTCCTGGATATTCTTTTTTTATAAATTAAGTCCGAACCTTTTGAATGGAAGGATTCACAAGGACAGAGCCCCCGCTAAGCAGAGCTTGTAGCGTTGGCCCTGCCCTCTACCCTCCGATCGCGCAATTCCTGATCTATAACAGAATTTAGAGCCCAAAGTTTAACGTATGCACATAGCCGTGCACGACCGGTCCCCTCACTGACTTCGACGTTGGCTGCGGCCCGCTACCAGCCGCAACTATTCTCGCCAGGAGGCTCATAAACATCGAGCGACTCCGTCGCGCTTCGAACCCGGACTGTTATAACCGGGACGCGTGCGCTCGGTCCGTGCTTTCCATCCTCAGGACAGTCAAATCATTCACCTCCATGCCGCAACCCCCTGCTCCAGGCTGGACGGGCAACTCTAACCCACACGGGAACGGCTCCACTGGAGCTAGCCCGCAGCCGGGTGCAGTGAGTGCCAGTGGGCTGGGCGGCCTGTCCGACTGGACAGGTTCAGCCCAGGTGACTCACTGGGGTGCCTGCCCAGACCAATGTCTGTCCCTAATTCCTATCATTCTTCCGGCTCTGAAATGGTCTCGTCGGACCGAAAGCGCCTAACCCAACAAAACAAAAACAAAAATTGAGTCCCGGAGAGCAAATCCCAGTCACTTAGGGTCCCAACGGGCCTCAAATTGCACTACTATACGGGGCCCCGATTGTCTAACACTATAGCCTCTGACGACCCTAAGGTTGTGTCGGAGATCCACGGCGATTATGGAGAATCCATCTGAGAAGCCCTCAGTAGTCAGTCTCCAAGTTGATACACAGGCATTACACTGGTCTGAGGGGGCCCTACGTGGGAGAGTACGGTCTCTACTTAGAATGCTCTTTAAAGCCTGGTATGGATCATATAAAACCAGTGTCAAGTGTGGGCTACCATAGAGGCCGACGTGGGTCCAGAAGCTGAAATTAGCCCTCAGAGTTCGGTACCGAGAGCGCTCAGAAGTCGGCGGGGCCATCAGAAACCGATGTGGTTCGCAAAAAAATCTATGCGTGCGGGCCATCGACATGAGGCTCGTCATGAAAATTCCTTAGACGAGGCACTGCCACTCGAACAAACGCTCAACACCGAGAAGTGTGATTATTAGGTAGGTACTGTCTAATTGGGCAATGTGAGGAGGCTACAAACTAATATAAAAGCATGGGTCGGATCGTCTACTATTTTTGTCTTAGTTTGCTGAAAAAAAATCATGGTGTCAGGGCTGTGATGAAAATAAGTGGTCTAAATCCGGTGAGAAAACAGGATTTGGGGGTACCCTAGGTTTGGCTGGGTTGTCTCTGCCCCCCCCCCCCCAGTGAAAATTCTTTAGACGAGGCCCTGCCTTGAGGTGTTACAATATGATCTTATATCGATATGTGTGGCGTAGACTGGAAATGGTAGACTGATTCTGCCAATAACATTCTATCAATGGCTCAAAATCAAATCTAGCCTCAACGCTATAATTCGCAAAGGTGTTTCGTCAGTTTCGATATTTTCCCACAGCTTCAAAGACGGACAATTTGGAGGTGACCGAACGCCCTCCAGCGGAGACCACCAGCAACAAAGACTCTGCTCGTCGACTCCAGGCGGCGCCACCGCCGAGGGTGCCCCCAGAGCCGGCCAGGCAGCCCACTGATGACACAGGTAATTCTCCGACTTGGAACTCGGTAACCATACATAGAAGATGCACATACGCCACCTGCCTCAGCCCTCATCGAAAGTTTATGAGCGTCAATGTCCAGTGATCTTATCGGCATGAGCTGTGCTAGTTTCTGGTCATTTGACGACTGCCATTTGGTCAACATCATAAATGAACGTCTAACCCAGTCACGATCATCTGTGCACATTGCGACATTGGTCATTGGTTGACACCTGACCAGATTGCCCCGACTGTCACCCCCAGAGTCGAGCTGGGACCGGCCTCGCTACAACCAGGGCTACTCGGAACCGCTACCACCGGGCGACATCTTCAACCACCGCCAGCAGGGTCTGCTGACCGGTCTGAGCCACTTCCCGGCGGCAGCGGGCTCCAGTCGGCAGCATCACAGCATTCAGCCGCCACCACCGCCCCCGCCTGTCAGGTCAGCAAGGCGGAGGGGATATGGGACAAGGCAGGGTGAAAGACAGGTGAGCAGCGTTTGAGGGCAGAGCAGAGCAGACGGAAAGGGGAGGAGGTCAGGGCGGGCCGACAGGGAATAAAAAACGAACAGTCGGTCGAACAGTCGAATGTTTGAATAATACCAATGATTTACAATGTGTGCCTCCAGTGGCATCCTGAATGACTGTTTTATTTGTAAACCAAACGTGAATATTGTTTTTGTTTTTTTGTTTTGTTGGGTTAGGCCCTTTCGGTCCAATGAGACCATTTCAGAGCCGGGAGGATGATAGGATATAGGGGGAGACATTGGTCTGGGCAGGCACCCTAGTGAGTCGCCGGGGCTGAGCCCGTCCAGAGGACAGGCCACCCAGCCCCAAGGCACTCACTGCACCCGGCTACGGGGTGCGCTCCCTCGGGAGCAACGGTGCCGCTCCAAGGGAGCAGCCCGCATGGAATTAAATTGCCTGTCCAGCCCGGAGGGGGGTTGCGGCGTGGAGGAGAAGGATTTCAGTATCCTGAGGATAGAAGCACGGAACGGTGTGAATAGTTGTGCGGAGCCCACCGCTTACCTCGGCCTCCCCTCCACGCCCAGTTACCCGCAGTACGAGAAGCCTTCCTCGGTGTATCAGCCACCGTCCGTATTCTACGACGACCTCTACCAGAACTGGGCGGGTAGATTGCCGCCCAGTGGCTATCCGTATGATACTCTACCGCGCTACGATCCGATGGCGCTGCAGCCGCAGAGATCACCGTACGACCAGTCGCTCCCACTGCCACCTGGCGGCCCGCAGAATAAGCTCGGACAGGTGGCGCCACCGGCCGACTGGGCCGACCAGCAGCCTGGCAGGGAAATGGTAAGAAAAGGCAAAATCGCTGCTGTACAATTTATGAATGACAAAAAAAAATTGTTGATATGCCCTCTTTCATGGTTTTCTGTTTTCTCACTCTGAAAATAGGTAAACGTATACCGAACCGAACCCATTTTTTTAACCGTACCGCTAGCTAACAAACTTCTCCATAGATGGCGCAAACATCGAGCGCCTGATGCTATGCTGTACCGCAATACCCATCGCACTTATACCGCCGCCAATAGATGGCGGTAGTGGTATGCGACTGATGTGATACTGTGCCGCAAGACACGTAGGACTTAGGAGCCTTTGAGGCTGGTTTGGACAGACCAACAAACCAGCTAGCGAATATTTTGACATGCTTTACGTGTAAAAGGGATGAAACAAATTGAATTATTCAAGTTGAAAGGCATTCTCTAGCATGCCAGTGTAGCTTTTCCAACGCACTTCTATGCGCATAATCCATCGTCGATGTTTGCCGTTGCCGTTCGCAGGCCAATCCCGCCGTCCGGCCGGTGCCGGGACTACCTCCGTCCCGAGAGGACCGTCCTCTGACCGTGGACAGGCGGCCCACCCCGCAGCAGGCGCCCGACAAACAGAAACCGGCCGGACCGGCGCCGGCGGCCGGCGCGGCTGCCCAGAACGGTACCGGTCAGCAGCCGACAGAGCCGCCAGGTGAGTTGGTGGGCGTGTGGAGAGACAGGGGCAAGTGTGTTGGACTGATGAGCTATTTTTATCGATGTAACTGAGTTTTTAACTCGTGCCCATTGATATTTTTACTGAAGCCGTTCGTAGAAGCTGCTCCCCTTCCAAATCTCTCATCAGAAATAATAATTGAGCCCCTAATCACACATAAGTACGAAATCATCGTTATTTTCTACTCTTACCCAGCCTCGGATTCTCGACCCACCCCTGCACTTATCTAACCTAAGCCCCCTGTAACCAGCAGCGGAGGCGACGACCGCTGAGGCGACGGTGGCTCCGTCTGCCAACGCGCCGCCTCCCTCCCCGGCCGTGGAGGAGGTGGAGTTTAGTCTGAGCGAGCTCCGATCCCAGGCGGCGCTGCAATCATCCGAGTCGCAAGGAGCCGCCATCGTGCTCACACTGGGTGAGTAAGGGGACTCCCAGGGTGATAGGTAGAATCGAGAGAGCCTAGTCTGAAAGAGCGGGGGTTGTCCGGAATAGAAAATACGGCTTATTCTGAGAAAGTGTGCAGGTGGAGCCAAGTCATCACCCTCAAAATAATGCATGGTATTATTTTGTATATCAGGCAATGTTAATGACATGATGGTGTTTACAGTCTTCATTTTAGGGCAGCACTCTACCGCCGGCCCCAAAGCATTTTAGTCAGACTTCTGATGGTATAGTTATTTTACTAGGGTAAGGCGGTAAAGCCATAAAAATGTCATTTCCACACTCATATCACAACCACGCACCTTCTTTCTGTCCCCCCCCCCTTCCCCTCATCTCACCACATTTTTCAGCCCCGTTCCGATTATGTCTAGTCCCATCTGCCAGAGCAAACCACCATCTGACCTCAATTCCCCATCTCTCCCCCAGGAGTGCTTCTGAGCGCCATTCTGGTGGTCCTGGCACTGTGTAGAACTCAGTGCGCTCGGCGGCGGGGCCGGCGGGGCGACAGACCGGGCCTGGCGCACGACGCAGATTACCTGGTCAACGGCATGTATCTCTGAGATGGAGAGAGGGAAAGAGGAAGCCTCTGAGGAGGGACAGCGCGCTCTTCTGAGGAGGAAAGAGAGACGACAGGTCATGGGAGGGGGACAGCGAATACCTCGCCTGCCTGTTAGAAGAGGGTGGTGGATGGCATGTGCCTCTGGGGAGAGCGAGCTACAGCTCTGAGAAGGAAAACGATTGCTAGTGATAGGGAATAAACGCCCCCGAGGAGGGTAAGCCGGCCAGAGTCAACGCTAGGCTGGTTTTGTATTTGTATACAGAAGCAGAAAGCAAAGGCGTACTGATGTGATGAGATACCAGCCTACGCTTCAGTCGGAAAGAGTAAACCTGTTGAGTGCATCGACCCCACCGCTGGCTTCGGGCGATGCTGGTCTAAACAGGGACGAATATACATAAAGCGAATGTCCCCACACAAGTTTGCCGGGAGGTTGCAGGGCAAACGTAAGGGGCGAATGGCCCCGCGGTATTATTTTGTATATCAGGCAATGTTAATGTTGTCGTGCAATTAACGATTGTGAATGCAGGGTAATAATGTAAACGGAAGTTGTGAAACCACGGCTCTTAATTGCGGACGTTATGATTCGTTTGCCATTGTGACAATTTTGAGACACGCCTCTTTGTAAAAGGGTCATATACCAGCTTCATGTGACATGTATTATATTGCACACCTATCGCTTCGAGCTTTGAGCCATGCATCCTCAATCCTCATCTACTAACTATCTAAAGTGGTTAGCCAATTTGGAAAAGAACTTTGCTAATTTGCTAGATAGTCAAATGTCCCTTTGTCCTTTGCATTCCCTCAGTGACGTCGGACTAATGCAAGTGTGCGCTTTCCTGATACGTTATACATTCTCGCTAGATATGTGAATACTAGCCGACCTATTCTGGATGTTGTGGTGTTTCTGTGGATGTTGTGAACTGTGCTATTGCCACATGGTTTGTAAGGTGATTCGTGCGTCATTTCAAGCTGATGGAAGCGCCCACGCTAAACATGTCTAAAGTGTGATTGTGTTTAACAGTTTGTGTAATGAATGGTGTTCTGAACGATCGTATCAGGGAATAAATGAAAGTTTTTCACAAATTCTGTTACTCAAAGCTTCACGGATGTGGGTGACCGGGTATTGGCAGTGGTTAATCGACTTTACCGGGACATTTGCCATTTTCACGCGCTTAGTTTACAACTGTTGTTTACCGCTACTGTGCGGTGCTGGCAAATTGTGAGCATATCTAACGAGCAGGCGCAGCGAGCGAGTGAGTCTATGTGTAAATAGACTCGCTTTTTTAATGTGCAAATCTCAGTACGAGCGACCCGGTCCGTCCCGGCGCCGCCCTCCGCCGCCTGCGCCGCTCGTTCCAGCCGACAGCCGCGTCCAGCAGGTCCACCAGACTCATGAGCGAGTAGCCGAGCAGGAGGCCGAAGGCGCCGCCCAGGTCGGACAGCAGGTCCACCAGCTCGTAGGCCAGCCGCTGCCGCACCGACAGACGCTCCGGGCTGAAGCGCAGCTGGATGTCCACCGTGGGACCTGGAGAACGAGCGGATGAACATGAGCGAGGGAGAAAGGGACATGCGAAGAGACGCTGGGCACTAAGTTGATTAGACGCGACTTCAAAACGACGATTTCGGGTAGCTTCACGTCTGAGTAGCCTCGTGCATATAACGACAGACGACAAAGAACAAATGAACAAGCTTTGCAAAAACGCACCCCGGAGTCCGGACCATTGCAATTTCAACCAAAGTATCATTTATATGGCATTTTATATCCACTAGAAGTCTATATCCCCGTTCGAAGCGCACGTCGTAACTCACTGAGGCCGACGCCGGTCATGGCCGGGTGCTCCATCACTGTGATCAGCTGGGTCCGGCAGGGCCGCAGGCAGTGGTCACAGTCGGGCCGCGCCCGCTGCCAGGCTCGGACAGCCGCCTCGTACTCGGTCCGGGAGACGCAGGCCGGCAGACCGCCGCCGCTGGTCGCCCCCCACAGGACGCTGCAGTTGGACTCGGTGAAGGCCGCCAGCGACCGGCAGTCCAGCAGGCACTGAGTGGGACACACAGACAGGAATTAATGCTTCAGACACGAACAGTTCCGCAGGCACTGATTATAATGAGATGGTGAGGAATTCATCAGATGCAGATACTATTTCGGACTTATCACAGCACAACGAACGTAGGTTATACAACAAATTCATTACTCTTTGAGGGTAGGGACTAAATTACACTACCAGCACGGGGCACCTCCAACTGCGTGAAAAGGTGCTTGTAGGCCTTCCCCAGACCAGCCTTACCTGATTTCTGTCATAGTGCGGATCGTCCTGGCAGGGTTGATCGTTGCGGTCCACGCTGACGGTCTCCGACTGCGTCACCACCAGCTCCTTAAACATCTGATCCAGCACCAGACTGTAGGCGCTGACCTGACTGAGACCGTACCACGTCTTGGGGGAGCTCTCGCCGTGAAAGAACAGCCGATAGAAGCCGTCCATGGGATGGAGGAAATCTGATTGGAGGAGGAGAGTCAGCTGTAGTTCGGCTCCGGCCACCTGGGTCAGGTCGGACAGGTCTAAGGTGTGACAGGTTAGGCCGGGCGGCACACGACGGCTCTTCCAGCGGCCGGATAGGTCTAGTCGGCGCCGCTGCTGTAGCTCGGGTTCAGTGTGTTGAGTTTGAGTACGAGTTTGCTGAGACGGCGACGAACGGTCGGAAGTCTCCAAGTCCAGTTGTGCCGAACCAGTCATTGTGTCTTCAAACTGGATGCCTAAATTGTCACTCCTCCCGGGTGCAAGGTCACGCCATCGTCCTCCTTCATCACCCACCCCACCTCCAGGTAGCCGACATCTCTCTTCACCACCTTCCTCTATCGGTGGCGAGCAGTCATCCCCATCGGCAGTCTGACAGGTCAGTACCACACACTGGAGCGTGCCAGCCGCGGCGTGCAGTACCTCCTCAGTGCTGAGTGTACCGAGAGTCCACAGTTCATCCAGCTCCCACAGCGCTGTCCGGTTGAGGTCAGCCGGACAGACGGTGATGGCCGGAGGTGCAGCGGGCATTACACGTGTCTCAGATACTACAGGACGGTGCAGGAAGTCGACCAGCTTGAAGGAGAACATGACCAAGAGAAGGATGAAGCATATCACGCGCAGAAAGATGGCTGTGGGTCGCCAGAGACGTGGCAGGTCGGGAGACATTGCGAGAGGACGCCTGGTGGCTTTACCGCGGGATGGAACTCACCAGAAAGATTCTACAGATGATCCAGAGCTACGCCCAGTACCGTCGTTAGTCCTCACGTCTGAGGAATCACCCCTATCGGCTGAGTGAAACTGCTCGCCCGGTCGACGAAGCTGAGAAGCAGTGGCAGAACCCAGTCGACTGTCCCGCACTAGGATAGCCCCCACCGCTGTCGTGTGCGTCTTTCCACCGTTCGCTCAGCCTTCTGATCGACAAATGTCGAATAAGCGCGGTCGTTTCGTGCCCATCACCAGTGCGGTGACGTCCCCGGAGGCCAATTTTCACAAGTGGTCCAGCACGACCAAGGTAATGAGTTATTGTAGCAATATTGATTTATGTGGTGCGTACGGCCGCTCATTGCCAGTCAATCAAAATAAGTGAAGCTTGTCAATTATGTTGTAGATGGGGTCAGCGATAAACACATGTAGACAAAACATCGAAATTAGCTATCTACTAGTAACGTGGCATTAGTGCTCATTGTCACATAGCTTTTTACAGAACTTAGTAAATGAACTAAACTGAATCAGTTCCAAATCCGAGTAATCTGAGATGAAAAAAGGAACCAATACAACATGATGTGCTCTTTACTTGCTCTTGCTCGACAACCTATCTAATTTGCGCGGATTACCAGTATCCAGTACACAAACATAAGAGTGAGTGGAAAAATGTATAGCCTCTTTCAGATGATGGGAGACAGCAAATATATCACAAGCGACACTGATGGCAGGCAATGACCAATGCTCGATGAAATGAGGGAAAACTGGCGATGAGGCACACAATGCATTACGATGCATAAATATACACATGCACTGTCGACACTCACAATTCAACTAGCATTTGAGCTTCAATTCCCCACGATCCCATTAAACATACCAGTATAACGCCTTTTGGGGCGACTAACGGAGCGAGCGAGAGGGTGGGCCTTGCACGTGCGAAATTGCGAGGGGGTACCTCCAACTGACTTGTGCACGGCATCCTACTAACTGGTCTCTAGCGATGTGCCAAATTTGGGCACAATCGGCCCAGCCGTTCTCGAGATCTGGAAGCGGCACCCTGCACGTGCGCACGTGCAAAATGGGTCCCAACTGACTTGTGCACGGCACCCTACTAACCGGTCCCTAACCGTGTACCAAATTTGAGCGCAATCGGTCCAGCCGTTCCCGAGATCTGGAAACGACCCCTGCACGTGCGCACGTGCAGCAGCACCCCAACTCTGGCACATGTATATGCAGTGCCTAGTGGGTGCCTACCTACATGCCAACTTTCAGCGCAATCGGCCAAGTAGTTACCGAGATATTGCAACAATTACAAAGCTGACACCTCTTCGTTTTGCACGTGGCACGTGCATAAGGGGTCACCCACATGCATCGGGAATAGTCCAATACTTGGTAGAAGGAATGAAGCTACCCTACAAAAATTACCGCGTGTAAATCGGTCAAGTGGTTGCTGAGATATAAGCCTCGCAAAAGCGTGACCACGGCCGGCCGGCCGGCCGGCCGCTCATACTCAGAAATTTCCGTTAATCTAAGGAAAGACTACGCTCGCTTCGCTCGCTCCGTAACCAGTTGGTCGAAGTTTAGGCAGTGTCATTTGTCACTGTTGACATTCGCGGGCACATAGTAAAAGATAACCATTTAGTCTTCACTGTACAGTGTACACCTTATAGAGCAAACTGTGATGCTACATTCAAACTATCACATTTACATGCCCTTCTAATCCATACCGTCGCATCGGTCTCGATACGTCCCGTCCTATTCTGTTTGGTCCCGTCCCGTCCCTGTGCTGTCCCATCACACCCCATCTCTGTCCCATCACACCCCATCTCTGTCCCATCCCGTCACGAATCGCCCACGGTGCCGACTTGATAGAAGTGCGGCGCTAGCTCCGTCAGCCAGGCAGGGTCGATGACGGTCAGGTCCTTCATGAACGGTTGACTGGTGTGGACCACCTCAGAGAATAGCACCCTGGGAGACAGAGAGACACGCAGCTCAGACAGGTATGTACACAGACAGACAGACATACACACCAGAGTGGACCACCTCAGAGAAGAGCACCCTGGGAGACAGAGACATACAGCTCAGACAAGGAGGAAGACATAGACAGACATACACTCGGTCGCCCGTGTGGACCACCTCAGAGAAGTGCACCCTGGGAAACATAGAAACACAGCTCAGACAGTAAGACAGACGACATAGCTCAAACAGAAAAACGGACAGATAGACATACAGCTGTCCTCAGACAGTGACAGACACTAGACAGAAGTACAATTTTGTCCAAACAGAGACAAAAAGACACCACCGTGCAGCGTGCAGCTCAGATAAGTTAGCGATACGCAGCAGCATATTCCCGGACAGAATATACATATTGCACACACTGTGTTGCACACATGCCGACGGTACACGGGGCCGAGTTAAAAAGGAAAGGATTCTTTTTAGCGCACACACGCACCATGAATAATAGCCTGACTTCATTCAATGACTCGCAAAAAAGGACCGCACACACCAACAAAACTCTCAAAAACTTGGTTCGTTTAAATGAAACAATACCCACATTGTAATGAGGAAATAAGAACACAGTAGGATGATACCAAAGATCACGAGTCCTGACACACATTAGGTAAACAAAATATTGATATGTGATGTCATGTAGAATAGGAATTTGAAGACTATGATCTACCCTAGATGAAAACAAATATTAGTGGGTAAATAAGACGCTAAGGAACGCTGGCGGGCTATTTTGGCGCGAAGACGGCGCCGCCCGCAGTTCACCGTAATTTCGTCACAAGGCTAATTTGAATTCATCCAATTATGCACAACACAGTCGGTACGGTCCTAAGGGAAAGGGCGATGGGAAATAATGATGCAATAACACCATGTGCGGTTAATAAGAAAAGGTAAGGTTAATCATAAGTAGACTGCTCGATAATATCGTTTAGTATTATGCATCAACAAAGGAGCATTATGAGAATTCTGAAGCTGCTAGTAGTGATACGATCAGTATCATTCATAATGAAATAATCCACTACGCAAAACAGCGCATCAAAGTAACGCAACCACTATAACAATTAGAAATACCGACAAACTGCAAACAAATAAATGAAAAAGGTGTATCAAAAGGAAAATAAACATGTCTTTATGAATGTATCTAAAAAGTATGAAAACGATCATAATCCAAGGCAACTTCGCTTGTGTCAAAGTGTATCAAAGCATATCAAAGCTATCTGTTTTGCAGGAACATTAAAAAATACAGGCTGATAATTTTATTACTATGTTCCCTTTCACTGTAGTGACTAGTGAGGACTGTAGAATTGACGTCTTGGGGAGAGATAGCTACGCATCAATTAGCACTTTGAATGTTTGACGGTGTTAAGCGCCGATGACGGGTGCCTATAACTGTCAGTGGGGTCACAACTCACTACTGGGGCTGTTTGACGGTATATAACACCGACGAGGGGTGTGACTGTCCGTACAACTCACCACTGGGGCTGTTTGACGGTGTATAACACCGATAAGGGGCGTTACTGCCCGTACACTCACCACTGCACGGTAGGCGATCGGGCCGGTCTAGCCTCGCGAAACCTCAAAGACACTTTTTTCCGAAAATTGGAAAACAACGCATACTAGTCGACAGAAAATTCATCAAAGATTACGATTAGTGCATTTGCATGGCTCAGGAGACATTTTTTCGTCGACAAAAGTATCGTTAAAGACAGCGTTCCGTAACACTTCATAAGGGGGATAATCACAGCCGATTTTTACGCTCTTTGAATATTTTGCGGAACGATGAAATTGCTAGGTGTTGAGCATCCATTTTGCATGGAAAGTGAAATTTAGGTGTTTAGACGATTCCGCCATGGAAAGCAAGTAGACAAAATCAGTTCAAAATGTCTTATAATTAGGTTAACTTTTTATTTTTTTTTCTTCCACTGAACATTACGTTCACTGAATTAACCAAGCCCAGCAAAAAAAGTTTTAAGAGGATGAACTGAAAATAATGCTGTATCGCATGCACTAAGACACTATCTATTAGGGGAGCCAGTGAAAATTTGCAGCCACTTGCAGCCCTGGCATCCAGACACCTTTTTCTTCTAAGGGTTGGCCGTGGCTTGGTGCACTTGAGCACAAGTGGTAAATGCCACAAAGGGTGTTTTCGCGATAGCTCAAAACACCCAGGCAATAGAGAACTGCAACTTGGCATACCTGACCTTTGATGCACGCCGAATCTTGTGACACCAACCGCACTTTCAAGTCAGGTCAGGTCACTGACCTATGACGTCATAAATGAACCTCTGCACGATCCTCAGATGTCGCAACCTTGCAACGCTCTCAGTGCCAGAGTAACTTTCACAGGGAAGTGAGACTTGCAGGACTTATTGTCCTTTAGAGGTGTTACAACTTTTATATCTCAGATTTTTCCTAAATGTCACATTAAGTCAGGTTGGTCACGTGACCTCACCTATAAGTCAATGGGGAAATATGAAAACTGTTATTTTGGCGCCAGGAATGATATTCAATTGTCTCAAGTACATGGAATCGTTACTTCATGCACTCCTTGCAAGACCTGATGCTGCATTTTTGCATTGTTGACCTTGCATGACGTCATTTATGACGTCACTAGGGTCATACGAGTTTTTCGTCAATAACTCCCGATCAAATTGAGCTAGAGAGTCGACAAGGTCACCAATGGACTCCGGAAGACCTGCCGAATCGAATGATATGCGATATGACCTCCTTCGACCAACTTCGTGATTTGAAGACCTCTGACCTGACCTTGACTCGAGGTCAATACCTTACGGTGGCCTCACCTGAACAAAAAGTATACCATTCGACGCGCCTGAGCAAGGCGAACACGACGATGTCAAAATCGTGGTTCTGTGGCATTTTTTGCGAAGTTATTTACCAAAAACCAAACCCGCTGCTTGGGTCACGTTATGAAATGGGGCCTTGCCGGGCGAGATTTACGCTGTTTCATGATATGTATAAATTGGTAGGGCATAATCGTTTGAATAAAAAGTTGGTTTGGAAGCAATTTTCTACGGAGGTACACACCATTTCAATATCCTACCCAGCTCATATCGTCATAAATTTCGACCTACCCTCAAAAGTATCCATGCGTTATTCGAGCGGCAATTAGGCAAATTGCAAGCTCACCACAGAGCACAAATCCTAAAAGAGATAGTCCTTATTTAAAACATATGCTCATTGGATATTCAAGAAGGTTGCTCCTAAATATTGTGGTTCTAGCTTCAAAAACATGGATGTTATGAATGCCGATAGGTTTCGCGAGGCTACACCGGCCGGATCGCCCACTGTGCACTGGGGCTGTTTGACGGTGTACAACACCGATGATGGGTGTAACTGTCCGTATTACTCACCACTTGGGGCTGTTTGACGGTGTATAACACAGCTAAGGGGTAGAACTGACAGTAACACTCACCACTGGGGCTGTTTGACGGTGTATAACACCGACGATGGGTGTACCGCCAGCGGCTGGTCCCCCCTGACGGTGCGGTAAGTCCCGCTGTGGTGGAGGTAGGCGCAGTTGGGGAAGAACCCGGCCGTGATACACCGGCTCACCGCGTCCACGTCGCCTGTGAAAGGACAAAATGATGAAAAGGGATAAGTGAAAATGTTCTTAGCTAGACAAACAAAACAATTAAGAAGTGAAAATGTGCCTGAACCAAAGTCGCTCCAGCTTCACATACCGCCTTTAAAAAAAGCATGTCGCACTTTCAGTACGCGAAGACTCACCGTCGCATGATTTGGGCTCAAAGCCGGAGTGTTTCATCATCTTCAGAACCTGAAATACACACAAACCTAGCTTAGGACCAATGTTCGTGACTTTTGTTGCACATCCATTCGAGTGCGCAATACCACAAATCGAGAAGTTTCCTTCAAACAACGACTACAAAAGTTATCGGTAGTAACAACGTAAGTAACAACGAAGTCTGCGCCATAAAGCAGTGGCCAACAAGCAGGCGTCCAATGAAGTGTCCAGTGATATGTGTCTTTACAACAATCGTCAAGCGCGCAGCCTAATTACTGACCTGTGAACGAATCTCCTCCACCCGCAGCATGGCCTTGTAGCGGACAAACAGCTCGTCACACCACTGTTTGGAGCGTTTCCGCTTGACGAACGAGCGGTAGATGTTGAGGTAGGTGATGGTGTCACCCTCCTCCACCTGAGTGCAAAGAGCGGTGACATCAGTTGGTCGCAAGACACACACCACGGCAACATAACGTAGCACAATGCTAGTTGAAACTGCGTGAATCATCAGGAGAGTCAAATGAAGTGACCGAGGGGCTGCGTAAATGATGTGAGGGTTATGTTTATTAAACCTAATCGGGACACGCTGTGTAGCATGCGATTGATCTTGGCAAGTTAGCCATACCCATACTCAGGCTCTTCTAACGGCCAACTGACGGTCCACTATGGCGTCCGCTATTGACACTCTGACACCGATTGCACTCTGCTGACATTGCTCACACAGTCTCACCTCAAAGGTGCGATGAGCCATCCTGGCCTTGAGGAGGGCCTGACCGGCTCGTGGTCTCTGCAGCACCTGGTCCACCTGCAGCATGGCTACCAGGGTGGCTATCTCCTCCCCGCAGCCAAACTCGTCTGGGAGAGGCACAAGGGGAGGTCAGACGGGAGTTGGACATTGGCGGTAGTGAACGGGGTTTAAAGGCACCTGAGTCCGGTATTAATTGAAGGAAGCCGTGGAGTTGGTAAGGCCATCCAAAGAGTCATTGGTTTTTGAGAAAAAAAAAACATAATAAAGTATCATTCCGTCAAATCAGATCCTGCTTTATCGAAAACCTATGACCAAAGCAGTCATTTATACGTCTTCAAATAAGAAAATATTCATCGATCCATTTCGAACTGATGCTTAATCTTAACCATACCTGCGGCCAGCACCATGCGTGCGTGTGTGGGCGGCAGCGGCAGCTCGGCCATGGCGGCGCCTGTCTCCGTCAGCGCCCCGCTCATATCCAGCGCTCCTAGCGCATGGAGCAGCTCACAGGCGGCCAGCACGGCACGGGCCGGCGGCGGGGAGGGCAGCGCGAACCGCGCCGGGTTGGAGACGCCCAGGGCGCGCAGCTGCAGCAGACAGCCGGCCAGGTCGGACCGGCGCACCTCCGGGACAGTGTGCTCCGGTAGGGAGGTGAATTCAGACTCCGGGTACAGCCTGGAACGAGGAAAGGACAACTCAAACTCTAGGCATATTATGAGACAGGGATACACAAGATAAGACATCGGGTTAACGGTCCACGTGGATGTGAGCTAATTTGAGTGAAGGACTACCTCTAACTTCGGATACAGTCTGGGAACATGTATCTGCCAACAGGCCAAACAAGACTATGCAGAAAGACATTCGAAATTATCTGTTACGTTGACTAGCCGCCTGTACCCGCGGAGCTAGTCAAACAGATGAAACTGCCACTCTCCCAGCACAAAAATACCACCCATCTCCACCGGCCCAACTAACCCCCAGCGCCAGCGGGACCGTCACCTCACCTGTAGACCTTGCCGGACCTGACGCGGCCAGCGCGTCCCGCCCGCTGCTCGGCCGAGGCCCGCGAGGTGGGACACACCACTAGTGAGTCGGTGTGGGTGTCCGAGTTGTACCAGCGCAGCTTGACGAAACCGCTGTCCACCACTGAAAAAGGACAGAAGAGACGCTAGGTCAGCAGCCTTTAAAACACATTAAGTGGTGCCAGGCCCATTTTATGGACAGGCAATGAAGAAAGATAGCTTGTCTTCATGATTCTGCTCCCCACTACTGGTATATGGACAGAGTAGATTGCACGTTAGCGAAACGAGCACGCTGCTGAAATTTTAGGTCAGTTTCACAAATACACCGATGGGAAGTTGCAGCTTCACAGGAGCAAAAAAGCGGTCTAACTTTAGTCGAACTCTATAACTGCATCCTCGCCACACAAATGCAGTCCTACGCAGCATGTGCACACACGGTCAGCGTGCCACTTCATCCCTCTACACCACACTACTGACCGTACACGATGCCCGGAATTGTGACGGACGCCTCGGCCAGGTTGGTGGCCACCACCACCTTCCTGTGGCCCTGCGGCGCCCTCTGGAACGCCCTCAGCTGGTCGGCGTTCGGCAGCGCGCCGTACATTGGCAGCGGCAGTAGCTTGTCTGTCGGTGTGGGGAGAGGGAGTCACTGTCACGCTGGGGGAGTGAGAGCTAAAGTCACATCAGTCAGTGTATGGAATGAGGGTTGGAGAAACGGGAGTAAAGCGAAGTGACTGAATGACATACCATGGCAATGGCAAGCCTCAGTACCGGGGTCTTAGGACTGTAAGAAGCACTCTCTGGCTCAGAACTAACCGAACTGCATTGCGAAACTGAACTGGACATACTCAACAATTGACATCATAATGCATGATCAAACCACTCAACGCATGTCTGATTGATGAAAATCAGTTCAGCACACAAAAACCCAAAATCAGTGCATTCATCGCAGAAGGCGCCCTTGCAGAACCCAATCACAATAAGCCCCGAACCTCTTCCCTAACTCCGTACCTTTCCTGGGCGTGTCGGGCGCCTCTCTCAGCTTCCTAACCACCTCATCCACCTCATCCTGGCCCGTGAGGAAGACCAGGACGTCTCCGGGCGGCTCAGTAGTGTGCAGACGACACACGGTGTCCACGCACGCCTGGATGTAGTTTGGCACTGGCTCTGTAATAGGGGTAATACAGCAGTTACTAACACACGTTGGGCATCGGCTGTTAGTAGATGATAATACAGCCGTGAGTAGCGCAATGTCAGTATACTGCCCGTCATCTACCGTTCCAACCATCCTCCTCCTTCCCTCCATCTGGTACCTCATACCCGCCGTTTCAGCACTGCAAAACTAAACTGCAATCCTCATCGCAATACACAAAACTGCAATTACACCTCGACAGGATGTTGTTGAGCGTTTGGCGTCCACTGTCACCGATATCCCCTCTCCCCCTTCCTGCGGTACTGAACCAGCCTGTAATACACTTCGACCGGGTACTGTCCATCCTCTCCGTCTCCTCTGTCCCTTACTCTACCCCTTCTCCATCCATCTCAGCACTTACCCAGACTGTAGTACACCTCAACAGGGTGTTGTCGCCCATCCACTGTCCCCTATACCCCCTCTAACCTTCCAGTACTAACTCAGACTGTAATACACCTCGACAGGGTGTTGTGGATCTTCCCCGTCTCCTATACCCTTATCCTCATCTCAGTACCTACCTAAACTGTAGTACACCTCGACCGCGTGTTATCAGCTCACCCTTACCCTCCAATTAGTCCTTACCCAGACTGTAGTACACCTCGACCGGGTGCTGCCGCCCATCCACCGACAGTATGGTGGCCGACGGTCGGTCGCCGTCCAGACTGAAGAACCGCCGCAGTTCCTCGGCGTCAACTGTGGCCGATGATACGATCAGACGCAGGTCGCGCCGCTTCTGTGGAAGCAAGGGGAGGACAATGGTCAGGGGTGAGAACTGAAACGTTGGGGACTGGTCGGAGAATAGAAAAAGACGTAGATGGGCGACGATCATGTGAATTGGCATTAAAAAATCACATGACACAGCCACATCAATGGCTGAACTACATCCCCCGAAAAGCGTTATTGGCAGGAAATGTATACAACAGAAGACGCATCGATATGATCATGATAAAATAAGAGCGACATAGAACCTATTTTTCATCAAAATAGTGAAATGTTAGTAAAAGATGTACCTATCTAAACTATGTGCAGGACGAAAAGACATCATGGCACATTGGTAAATGTAGGTTAAAACTAATTCTATCGCTCGCATTAAACCATCGATCACTGTGATCGTGATCATTAACCTTAGTATTTTTCTCACGAGTCACTAACCTTGAGTATTTTCTTCATGAGTCCCATGACGATGTCTGTGTTGATGGTTCGCTCGTGGACCTCGTCCAGCATGATGACGGAGTAGTTGGTCAGCAGCGGGTCGGCCATCATCTCACGGATCAGGATACCCTCCGTCATGTACTGCAGAACAGAGGGAGATGCGGGTATAATAGGGTCAAACGTCTCCGTCACCTAGAGATAAATCATCACAACTAGTCAGCGGTACCAGACGACAGAAAACATACCAATGGCACCTTCAGGAAATATGCAAACAGGTTTCCTCTCGATGAAGAATAAAGCAACAGCGATAGACGGATGAATACCAATAATACATGCGCATTTTATTCATACTCCTTCGGCCAATATACCTAGCCTACAACCTAAAACAGATCAAGAGCCCACAGATACCGCTCAAATAAACATAAAAATGTTGAAACCCACCCACTCCACCGGGTATTTCCTCACCCACCTTGATACGAGTGGCGGTAGGGTCGAATCTCTCGTCGAACCGTATGGAGTATCCGACCGTATGGCCCAGCAGACAGCCCACCTCGTCTGCCACGCGCTGAGCCAGTGTGGTGGCGGCCACCCGACGGGGCTCGGTGACACCCACCAGCCGGCCGCCGTCCGTCCAGCCGGCCTCGTGCAGGTACTGTGGGAGAGCGAGAGGTTTGTTTATTAGGGTTTACGGGCGCGTCGACTGCGGTTTTCGCTCATTTTGAGGAGAGCGAGAGGCTGGGTATTACTGTGGCGAGCGAGAGGCTGGGTGCGAGGTGATGACTGAAAGAGGGAATTAGGAAGAACGAGCAACATCAAGGAGCAATCGAAGATGACAGAAAGGGTCAAAAGAAACGAACAAAATAAGAACACAATGGAGTTGACTAGAACATTAAGGCAAGATAAAACAAGATTTGCAAAAGATCAAAATGAAAAACAAAACGAAAAGAATGAAAGAACCTCCAAGATCTACACAATTGTACGATAAGAGTCTATGTAGCATATTGCACAAAATGCTAAGTGAGCGAGCCTCCCTATAATACCCGACGAGTCTGTCCAATGTCCCGCTCACCTGCGGCACCTGTGTGCTCTTCCCCGAGCCCGTCTCCCCCACGAGCACCAGGGTCTGGTGTTCCTCCAGGGCGTACAGCAGGTGGTTTCTCAGACCGAACACGGGCAGCCGCTGACGCTGCTGCTGCAGGCCGAGCGATACGTGTGGGTTGTATATGAAGGTGGTGCTCTGTAGTGGGTCGGCGTCGGATCTGTCCTCGGATGAGCCGGGCGCCTCTGTACCTGGAAGGAGGAGAGGGAGGGTAAATCGGGCGCATTCAGGCATGTCAGGAGGAGTGCGAGCCAGGCGTATTCGTGCCTGGTCGAAAGAGAGAGAAGGGAGGGCAAGTCCAGCGCCTTCAGGCATGATGAAGCAAGTTAGGAGGGGAGATAAGTCCAGTATTTCTGTGTGTGTGCTTAAGACAATAAGCCCAGCTCAAGTGCAACACACTTGAAATTAGTATGGGATAGTCAGCCTCCTCTAGACTTGATGAAAAAGTTCCAGCTCCAACGCCTCCAAACCAGGCAGTAGAAGCCAGGGGAATGGGTTATGTTTGTTTTCCAATGCTATGTTTTCCAGGCCAACTAAGAGACTGAAGAGGCTGATGCATATGTACGTGTTTAAGCGGCTGTGGTGACTGGTGAGTCCCGACCCTCCACGGGAGGCGCGGGGGTGGAACGATGGTTAGCCGGCTCCCTCGGCCAGACAGAGGGAGATGAAAGGTTTCAGAAATTCAGAGCATATATTTCATTGACACTCTAGCCTAAACAGAGGGCAAGAGTGAAAAAAAACGTTCGGAGTTCGGACCCACAAAGAGTGACTGACTATTTTCTGGAAAAGTGGCAGTAAAACAAAATACCCCAAATCAACAACTTTTGACAAAAAGCGCTGCTTCTTTTAGGATATATCGTAAAAAAAGAACAAATAGACAACCATCACATAAATGCCTAGCAGCTAGCCTGTGGTCGACTGCTTACAAGCAATTCTCATGTATTTCAGTGGTGAGACATAGCATAGGGGAGAGTGGGGTAATTTGGCCGCTTTTTTATAAAACGATGTAACTAAAAATCGACAACACATTTCTGCATTTTCTCAACGCTGACAGGTGTGGCATACATTTTACTTTCTTGGACAGTAAACTTGAAATGATAGATTAACCACTTATATTGAAATTGTGACGTATTACAAAGGTCTGCAAAGCGGCCAAATTGCTCCACTAGCAGGGTTATTTGGCCGGGGGTGTGGGGCAATTTGGCCGGTGTTAGTTTGAGGCCCTGATTTTTGTTATAGGCGAGTCAGCTTCACATTCAGCAATGACGTGTGTCCTACGACGCATTTGAAGCATTTTGGAGGTTGACTCAGCCGTCACAGGGGTCGAAAATAGTCAAAAAAGCGGCTTTAGATGCGATGACAGTTTTTTACGAATAGCTTTTGAAGAAATCAAGCTAGGCCAAAACTAAAAGTACCATCGTAATTCTCTCGTCATTCCGCATTGAAACATGTATGTGTTGACTTCGAGAGGTCAAGGTCAAAGGTTGGCTTCAGGTCACGCTACCTCAGGTCGCTTGACCTCAAGGTTACGTGAGTCCAAGGTCATCATGTATATCATTCGATGCGCCTTGACGAGCTGAACACAATGAGACCATTTGCGCGGCTGTATCTTTTTTTCTGTAAGTATTTATTAGCAAAAAAAGCGTTAGATAACCTTTGATGACGTCACATGCCCTTACAGCTGTCCAATAGGAAATATGGCATCAAGGTAGTCAAAGTTGGTCATGAATTATGTCCTTTATGGTATAATTGACCATGACAACTCGGCCGTCCCAGCATAGTGACTCTGAACGCGCCGGCCAAGTTGCCCCGCTAGTCCCGGCCAAATAACCCCACATTGCCATTCTGAAAATGTTTGTCTATAATGTCGTCATGGCTGTACAGAACTAGATGAAATTGCTCTTGGAACCGCTGAACACCCTAAAAAATGGCACTATAATGTTGGAATTCGTTTACAGCCCAAATACTTCATGTTATACAAATTTTTAAACGGAAGTAAAAGTTACCATTTTCTAACGAAATTCACCTTTTATCAATTTTGAATAAAACTAAGAGGGGGAAAGTTTTGACATTTGTTCTCGAGTTAGTTCTGCCGATGACAAATGAATAGAGACTAAAGTTATTTCATTCACTTTTATCAGCTTTCGTACAGGTGGGGGCGGCCAATTTACACCACCGGCCAAATTACCCCACTCTCCCCTACATATACCTGGTTTCCAGAAACGAGGCTTAGCCGGTTGTGACATCCTGGTTGGTCTCCTCTGTCAAGGAAAAGAAGTCCGAAGTGTTTATTCTGAAAAAGAAAATAGTAGCAGTCAAGATACTGGCTCTCGCAAGTCACAATTGTGTCAGGGGCCCTAAGAGGCCGGATTGAGGCCCTCAAGGCATGTGTAAAATTGAGTCCTCAGAACCCAACGACGCCCTATGAGGCTATGTAGTGTGAGCCACCGGGGCCGGAATTGGCCCTCAGAATCCGCATGAGTTAGAAATACCAGTGGCCATTGAGTATTATCGGCTTCCTTTCGTCACGGGGGAAACGCTCGCTTTTTTCGCTCGCTCGTTTTTTTTTTCTTGTAAAACACTCGCTAGTTTCTTTTCCACGAGGCTCTAGCTGGATCCTGGGCCAAACGGCGGGGGGAGGGGGTAACGGACCTCTTCCCCTACCCATCTTTATACGTTAGATGCTGTAAAAGACGTTAGACGTTAGACGGTAATACGGGCGAGAGTTAAAATTGGATTTTCCGTTAGATAGCTCATTCAAATTCAAAACCCAAAACGTTTGGTTGACATGTAGTTAACAATATCACTGGTGGAGTGAACACCTTTGACGAGTACGACGACTGACGGAATATGTGTCCGTACAAGTTTGGGAACCGTGGCGATGTTGATGATTGACGTAATCTATCGTATGGAGCATCGCGAGTCACTGTCCTATGATTTCCGATCGACTGATGAGATAGGCATAGCCTTCAAGCAGTCCTAGATTTTGTCACACAAAAAACTATCACGCAATGGGACGATGACTGTATAACGACTTTCCGTTTCTAATCAACAGCAGCAGCAATTCCGATGCCTGAAGTAATATCCGTGTGGCTATTTATTTGGCTATCTATAATCTATAGTCGCATAAATATTCCTTCTCTCATTTGCTGCATGCTTCTGTATAACGGCAGAAATATAGACCTATATTTGTTGAGCAAGTAGTACGCGAATATTGTAAATAAGCAATTTCAACTGAAGGGGACCAGTGTCGTCTGACTCATCGCTTTAGCTGATGAAGCCATTAGACGAAACCGGTCCGTTTTATATGTAATTGCTTATTTACAATATTCGTGTGCTACTTGCTCAACAAACGTTCTTGCCCAATATATCCACAGCGGTCTAAAAGCAATCCGATTCCCCCTCGCTGCAGGCCATCATTTCCCGTTGTTTGTGTCGATCTCGTGTTTCTGTTCCTTCTCGCTGGTGACGCTTTTAGTTTAACGGTCGGGCGCCCGGCCGGCGCGACTGCAGCGGTGGTTGTCCCATCCCAGCCGGGCATGTAGGTCAATGGTACGTGACTTGGGAGTTCCGTTAGCTGCGGGTTAGGGCATCCGCCGCCGCACGGCGCTGTCCGTCTATGCTCGCTGTGCGGGTATGCCAGACTGCAGTGGCAGGCTCTGGCGGGCGGTGATGGCGTGTTCAGGGGTGTGTGGCAGCCTCACAGCCGTCCCCCGCCGGTGGCGGCGCCTCCACTCCGCCGGTGCAATTCTGATCGTGCTGCTCGCTCTTCATGCTCTCTGGAGGTGGCGGTCCAGAATCGCGAGACCTCAGCGGCCGTCAGAAGGGTGTCTGAATATCTTCCGGATCGGCGACTCCCTGCCAGGGGATGAGGACCGGAGTGCTGGTCCCTTCACCGGCGGCTGTCGCTCCAGCTCTCTGGGCGCTGACCAGGCGCACGCGTGCCTGCGGAGGCGGGCGGCGCGGCTGCGGCGGCCCGCGCGACTCGTGGTCGTCGGCGACTCTCGCAGCCGAATCCTGACGGAGCAGCTGCGCACGTTCCTCCAGCTGGGGAACGGCACTTCGGGCGCGGACGTTCGGCTGGAGGATATACCACCGGGTCCCCTGCACCCGCTGCAGAAGTATTGCACATGGGATGCGTGTGGGAAAAAGGACTTTGTGTGCAGCAGAATCGTGAAAAATGATGAGATTATAGTAGAATATTGGCGACGGCCGTTACTCTACTCGTTATTCTTGCAGAAGCTAAGAAGTCTTGTGATGGAGTGTCGAGAGAAGCCGTCAGAATGTCCCGACCTCGTGGTGATAAATAGCGGTATGTGGTACCTTCGTGTGATACCAGTCCAACTGCCAATTGAAAGGTCCAAAATTGCTTGGACTCTAAAGATGCGAGAGCACGTGAGCGGCATCCGACAGGTACTAGCTCAACTGGTGAAGGAGACCACGGTAGTGTGGCGACTGGAGGAAGCCATCACTTCCGACGTGACAAGCTCGCGCAGAAAGTCGGATTACCAGAGAAGGTTGACCGCTTCGCACGCTTTCTTCTACGAATTACAAACTAACGTGGATGGATTGGTAGTGTGGTCATCCATGCTTCCAGAATGTTTTGATTTCTCCCAGCGCGTCTGCAGCCCAGTCAAGAACTTGAGGAAGTCTGACGACCCCGTCATACAAAATGTGATCGATGAGTGCTACGACGCAATACATGTGGGTCGCTCCTTGCGACAGAGATTTGTGTCCAAAATGTTGGATGTGCTGTGCGAGCTTGATAGCGACAAGGATGCAGAGCACTGCTGCAGGGGATAGCATGATCTGTTATACGGTGGTATAGCAAAACGACTGTTCTATCGTCACAAGTTCCTAATCAAAGTTGAAATAGATTAGGCATGGACACTAGTTGGCAATGTCCAAGATGAATTGAAGATTAACTGAGGATCCTCACCCCTGTGTAAGGAGCTCTCAATCATATTTTCAGTATAATATCAGTGACCACTGACCAGTATAAGTACTCAGTGCATTATGTATACATTTGAATGCAGGTAACCTGAACTACAGGACCGCAACAAAACCATTGTTTTACACTTATCTAGTTTTGTTGAAAGTTAGTTGGCTGTTGTTAGTTGTTAAATTAATTGTGTGATGTATTATTTGATGTGCTGTGTGTGCTCTGTGATATTATTTAGAAGAAAGCATCAGCTTTGCTTCAGTGTATGTAATCAATATATTTTTCATTATGTGGATTTCAAAAAGAAACACTTTTGACTTGAGTCACAATTTTGTTCTACTTTTGACAGATATTGACCATGCATCACCCATTCAGACTCAAGGGCAAACCAATACCTATGTAGCCATGGATCAGGTACTCTAACTTCATCCATGATGCCTTCATCCATCCATCATGTAGCCAACTTGAGGTCAATGTCAATAAGCACTGAAGACTGGAGTTGCTTTGCTGTGGCATTTGAGGTGCAGAGCAACAGCCAAGAGGTACTCTAGTAGAATATATTGCAGAAAATAGAGTGGGACTTATGGGAGTGATTTTATTTATATCTGGCATCTATCAAGCATCATGGATAATAATGGAGACTGGGTAACCAGACAAATCTGTTATGAATTTCTTATTGTTCAGGTTTTCATCAACCTTTGTTCATCCAAAAGATTTACCAGTTTAAAGCATATGTTTACCAGAAAGCAGTACTTAGTGTACCTACACTTACCAGTATAGGTACCACTTCCCCCAAAATAAGTTTTTTTGCAACAGTTTTATGAGTTTTTATGCCTAGAAAGATCAGTAAAGAGAATAATGAATATTTACATGAGGAACTTCAAAGATATTTAACACAGGAAGACCTATTTCCTTCTTTGGTAGAGACTAGAAACTACTTGCAGCCCAAGCTGATCACATTCGCATTGACCAATCAGATCAAAGTTGCATAGACTTGCCTGAGACTCCAGACAGAAACTGAGCATTTGATGGAATTATGTACCTGCCCTGCCCTAGTTCTGACCCACAGCATGCTGATTGCCTTGAGAATTAACCTTGCCACTGGTGACTGCACTGTCAGTTCTTACATAAGGAAGCATTCTTGCAAAGGGAAATGATTTCAAAACAAGAAATGAAATATCCTTGCCTAGCATGATCATTGGACTGCAAAAGCTCTTGATTAAACGTATAGACATGAAGGTAGTAGTAAAGCAGGCATCACACTTCTTTTTGCAGCCAAGGAGAGGTGCTATACCCAGAGATGTAGGTTGTGGGTTTGTAGGCATTAGGTCATCATAGGTGGTAAGTTTTAGGTTGTAGGTGCCAGGTGGTAGGTTTTAGGTTGTACACATTAGGTTTAAGGTAGTAGGTTAAAGGTTAGGTTAGGTTTGTTTCGGTTTGGCTAGAAAGAAGCATCTCTCTTCTCTGGTATCAGTATAGCACCTCTCTTTGGTTGCAAAAAGAAGCGTAAAACCTCAGCCCTGTTCAAGTGTCTGTGGCCGCTGCAATAAAAAGGCAGGGCTTAGCTAGGCAGTCAATCAGGACAGTGGCAATTGAGGTCTGCGAGTCACCTCAATCAGTGATTGGCCGCTTAGCTAAGCCCCACCTTTCTGACCGCAGGAGCCAAAACGGCTGCAGATACTTGAACAGGACCCATCTTTACTACTGACATGAATACCTATAACATTGGCTGGCTAAAAAACAACCCCAAGTGAAACAATACGATTTATTGGAAACCTACTTTATCTTCCAATTGCAATGGCAATGCAACAGAGACTTCAGTTGATGATCACGAGCAAATAACTAAGTTAATCTGCTTTCAACCAGTGATATCAGTCGGGGGAGGTTTGGTCAATCGTTGTCATTTTTAGCACATGCCATTTTTGGCAACCATGTGCTAAAAATGACAACGCTATCAGCTATTTTTAGCAACGATGAAGTCGATTTCACTCCTCAGCGAGGAAATCACGATTTTGGAAATACAAGCACTGATTTTGGAAAAGAAGTGCTGCCACCTGGTGCAAGAAGAAGAAACCAGCTTTAATATGACCGTTGTTTGTATGGTAGTCCAACGTTGAAGTATACCCTTTTTTGTGGCCCGAAGTTGGAACTTTAAATTGAAGCATCCGAAAATGATCGATATTGATCGAAATCATGATGTGAATGAAAAAAATGATATGTTAAGTTGAGAGAGGAGGCCATTTTATCCAGATGCGGTGGTTTACTTCTTGAAATTATTTTTGCTTACGACGACTGCCATGTAATGAGGGATAATTAGCAGCCGTCATTAGCAAAAATAATTTCAAGATGTAAACTACTGCATCTGGATAAAATTGCCTCCTCTCTCAACTTAAAACATTATTTTTTTCATCAACATCATGTTTTCGATCAATATCGATCATTTTCGGATGCTTCAATTTTAAGTTCCAACTTCAGGCCACAAAACAACCTACCATGCAAATAACGGGCATATTAAAGCTGGCTTCTTCGTCTTGCACCAGGTGGCAGCACTTCTTTTCCAAAATCAGTGTTTATCTTTCCAAAATCTTGATTTCCTCGCTGAGGAGTGAAATCGGCCTCATCATTGTCAAAAATAGCAGAATCGTTGTCATTTTTAACACGTGTGACAAAAATAGCACGTGCTAAAAATGACAACGATTGACCAAACCTCCCCCGACTGATATTACCTATCTTGGCGACCTTTTAGAATTTAGATACGAACCGCCTGCGAATGACCAGCACCCCTATCTTAAATATGAACTACCTATATATCAGCTTTATGCCATTTACATAAAAAGTTCAATTAATACAAGGGGGGCATTCCACGTCAAATCAAACACCGAAATCCGTCATCCCCTTCGATTTTTCTGAAAATTTGTAGGCAGACTGGGCATGGTTCAAAACTGAGTTACGTATAATATTTTCGAAATTTGATTACGTATCGCTGAGATATAGGTCATCGAATATAGCAAAAAATGCCACACATCAATTTTTTAAATGGCTATAACTCTGGTTCCTTTTCTGGTATCAAAATGATATTAACAGGGTCTTATAGGCAATTGATAAGGCTTTGATTTTTAATTAAAAAATTAAATTGAAGTGACCTTGAAACGCTTTTGACCTTGAATTAAAACAGAAAAATGTAAATAGCAAAAAACACGTCACCTTCGATTTTGCTAATTTTTACATATTATGTCCGTCACAATGTTCCTAACCATCTGTGAAAAAATTGGAGTGGGCCATTCATAACTTTCGCGGCAAACGCCGTTTTCATGCATCAACATCACGCAACCGCGCGTGACCTTGAAAGACAGAGTCAAGACATGCTTGCTTGTGTACACTTTCTGAAATGAATGATTGCTGATTAGTGATATCCTAAACTCTGCGAGAATGGAAATGCATAGTCATCGTAGTCGAGCATTCACGTTCCATAGTAAAAGTGTCTCAGGCAAACTGTATTTTGCGGTGAATTTTGAGCCGTGTGGAAATGCATCATGAAGTAAATTCAACGAAAACATTATCACGCAACGATATCTTCACGTCTTTTGATCTTCACTATACGAAAGAACATACATTTTATAGTATGTATGGGGAATTTCTAGTTAATCCAATAATAAATATGGCAGTTAGGCCTGCTAAGAGTAACATGTCGCCGGCTGCAAGGCGGGCTCGGCCGATGCGGGAAATGCAGCAATCACAATTTTCTGTTTACACGTTCATATTTCAATTGTTTACCAACCGATTTTCAAAATTCTTTCACCATAAGATTGCCTGTACATTTCTTAGTCTTCTCACAAAATTGGACGCGAATCGAACGAAATCAGCGGTAGGGAGCGCGATGTAAAGACGGAACCGTTCCGTTCCGTCCCGGCACAGTCTACAATTCAGGCGGCGCGTGGCGGTCGGCGCCGGCTGCCGAGTCGCCGCGTCGCTGCGGCGACAGGATGTTCACTTTACACCGCTATTACTAGAACAGTTGTGAACCGATTTTCTTATTGCTTGCACGATGAGATGTCCAATTCAATTCTTGACAGGTAGCCATAGTTAATTTCGCATTAATCTTATGAGATATTGGCGAAAAACAGGAGGGGTGGGCGAAATTCGCTCTTCCTCCTCCACTGCGCGTGCTAACATACGTTTGCATATGTGCAATTTTCTTCAAAACTTATGAATGGCCCACTCTAATTTTTTCACAGGTTGTTAAGAATATGGTAGGCAATAAAATATATGAAAATGAGCCAAATCGAAGGTGACGTGTTTTTTGCTATTTCGATATTTGTGCTTAAGAACAGAGTTAAGCAAATTTCAAGGTCATATATTTAAGTAGGTGCAATTCTAAACAAATGCATAAGAAATTACCTAAACAGTAAGGGTTATTTCATTCAAATCAAACAAGTACAACCAAAGTTATGGTCGTTCAAAAATATTAAGATGCAACATTTTGTAAAAATTTGATGCCCTATATTTAGAAGACCTGTGGCCAGAATGTGCAAAAAACATCAATGTAATGTCCGGGGCCACACAGGAACTCGCTCACAAAGTTATAATGAAATCGCTGATGGTAAGGTGCAAAACAGCCGATTTTTGTTCGATTTGACGTGGAATGCCCCAAGGTAAGTAGGTAAACACGGTATATGTATCATTGAAATGTGCTTAGGACGTAAACTTGACATTTACCGGTAAACACTTAATTAGGAACCTACCTATTTTAGCTGCAAACTAATTGCAAACTTTTTAGCTGAGAGCGGCTCTATCTCTATACGGCCTTGGCTGAGAGCACGCTGACAGCGCGCTCTAAAATTGAAATCTTTACGAACCGCTATTTCATGTTAATAAAATAATTAATTGTTTAGGCAAAGAATGGAAATTGTCAAAGATGTTTACTGCCAGAGCTTACTCTTTCGTTGCATGGCAACCAGCTTATAAAACAGGTTTTTGCTTAAATAGAAAGAGGTTGCTAGGAAACTCGCGAGATTCGTAATGCTGCGAGCAGAAAAAAACAGCTTGAACCTGTCTTTTCTGCGTCATATATGGAAATATGGAAGCTCTGATAGATTGCATAAATATGAAGGGAAATTTGTCAGATTTAGGGGCTGAAAAGTCCGGCGTAACAAACCGACCGACGCATAACTTGTTGGAAACTTACCCGCGCTGTGCTGGGGGCAGGGGGTGTTTTCACACCCCTCTCAGGTTTTTCTCGAATATCTCAAAAAACGGCGGCGCCACATATTTATACATCTTAACCACACGTGAAAATTTCAGACCAGTTCACCAGGTCAGTTTACCAGGTCATGTCAAGTGACCTTATCTAAGAAAAGCCCAAAGGCCTGCTGTAGCTACACCAACTAAATGATCGCTTTGAAACTTTCAGCGATTGATAAGGGTAGCAGTATGTATAAAACGTACCTATACATATAACATATTTTTAATATCGGTCAATTTGGCGGCCTCTCCAGCCTCCATTATAGGAGTTAATGGGAGAAAACTGAAATGCACCTCTTTTGGACGAATGTCATTCTAAGCCCTCGCAAACATCGGTTTATATAGGTATCTGAACATGAGACACTGAATCTGAAAATTGCACCCGTGATCCCTCTGTGTACCCCTGATATCATCTCAGGTCTTGAAAGAGAAAGGTCACCAAAAGTGTTAGTTTTGCTTTAACTTTTGGTAGACGTTCTAGAGCGGTGAAAACACGTCAGTTGCGTTCGGATCAACTGGTATGCAGCATGACGGTATGACCCTTTCCGATTAGGTCATGATCTTGACCTGAGGTCAGATTTTCAAAATGACCATTCAAGGTCAACTTAGAGTTCATTCATCGTGTCTCGACGAGAGCAACACGATCCTGGCAAAAGTAATGTCGCGGCTCTCTTGAGTCAAAACTAAGTTACTACCGACTACCGAGAATCATGTTTCGTGAAAACGGCAATTTTTAAAGTGTTTGCCTTCTGGACCTGAGGTCAAATCTGCAGATTTGACCGGACATGTGGGAGAAAGAGAGCTGTAAGAGCTACCGAATACGCCATTTTCCGCGGCGCTGTAGCTCTATTGGTTCCCGAGTTAGCTGTCCGACGAAGTGTGTCATACGTCAGTGGGTAGGTATAGGCTAAGATAACTTTCATTTTGCACCATCAATGTTTTTTAGAAACGGAGTAAGTAACTTGAGCCTTTCTTCACGGGCGTCACTTTTTGAATAATATCGATAGGGCTAATGGTTAACTCGCGCCCTGGTGGTGTCTGTTTATAATGCGACCTGGTGGGGGGGCTATTTTTGTCCCCCCCCCTCGTACATCTCCGAAACTACTGGACGGATCCGCAAAATTTAAACGGTGTTCGAAAGCTCTGTCAAATTTGTCGAAGGAAGTTTAATTTCATTGACCTCGGATCACCGATGACGTCACAGGTCAGGTCAAACATAAAACGTTTTGCCGGTCACAGGTCTTCTAGGGAATGCGCTATAACGTCGAGTAAAACGCATTTTATCGAAAATCAGCGATAGGTCGTCAGTTGCCTACCTAGTACATATGTTGCTATTAGAGGTCACTGATAGTACCAGGTCAGGTCACAGGTCAGGTCACCAAGGGTCAGCACATGAACCCAATTTTACTAGAGCTGTGTGATGCATGTTTTATGGCCAATTTTTAATTTTCAAACTAGTGTTGGTTATAAGACCATCAGGAACAATTTAGATCACATCCTGGTGGAGGTCAGGTCAATGTCAGGTCAAAAAAGGTCAAATCTCAAAGTTGATATTTTTGCATAAAATGGGTACTCATTGAATGCAACTCGTCACGGCGAGTCTAACGGTGGTCTTTGTTTTGCGCTAGATGGTCTAGAATCGCTTAAAATTGAGTTTAAAAATTTGCCGTCATCAATTTTGAACAGTTTTTTCGCTATACCTTGGCCAAAAAAAGAGGTATCGATCTGAAATTTGATATGTGAATAGAAATCGGTAAGGGCTATCACATGTATTCCGCGTTTTCGAAAATCAGAAAACTTTTTGGATTTTTGGGCAATTATATCTAAAAAAAATAGTGTTTTGATTTTTGAGGGTCAAAATTAAAAAAAAATTCAAATTTCTGAGATCGTTGTTCTGTAGCCCTGGTAATCTACACCTTTTAGGTATGTCTCAAACGTTTTTTTTTTTGTATCTTCAAAGCTATAGGCCTGACAGCTCTTCCCGCGAAACCTTGTTTTTTTGTCGAAAACGGCAGAACATAACGTCACTCTGACGTCATTTGCGGCCAGCCTATCATAGCCTTTGAAAAAATTGTGGTCACAAAAAATTGATGCCCGAGAGGGTACTGAAAGTTTGGTGACGATCGGCGCAGCGGTTCTGGAGATATATCGAAAAGTCTGGAGGGGGGGGGGGCAAAAAATAGCCGCCGCCCCCCCCCCCCCATCAGCCCATCAGGGCGCAGGTTAATTTTACGATACAAATGCCATTCTTACCATGCAGTGCTATATAGGGCTCACGTTAAAACTCCAAAGTTATTGCCGGTAGGGCTCGGGCCCTACCGCCCCATACAAAACGACACCCATGTCGTTTGCTCCCATGCTCCAAATATATTTTTATTTTCCTGTTATGTATGGTGCATGCTGCATCGCAGAATGTAACCAATTACCTACCTATCTATCACATACGAGCGAAGGTCGACATACAGTGAACACGCTTACGCATTAGCTGACGCCTTTATTGCTAATGTCATGGTGAGGGGCGCTCGACGGGCCTGGCGATCGTCGGCACACCGCACACTGCTCGCGCGCTTCCATTGCCCGCTCGCGCCCGTCAGCACTGCTATTGATCGATACGCTCGGACGGACGGCCGCGTGCGTGGTCGACCGGCCGGAGTTGTGAGCTAGTCTGCACGCGGCACGGGCCGAGTAGTGTGTAAAGTCGTGGTGTTGGCCCGTACAGAGTTGTGCGTTGGCTCCACCGAAAAGTGTGTTGGTTCTCCGGAGTGGTGTGCTGGTTCGTACGAGTTATATTTTGCTCCGTAGTCCGTACGTAGGAGGGATGACAGCTAGGACAGCGCCAGTGCCGTGAGACATCAGAACGGAAAGAGGCGGCCGAATGCTGTTTGGACCATCACGTCCATCGGTCACCCCATTCACGTTCAGGTGAGTCAGGCCCGAGTCACCGACTTCTACACGTTTCGAAAACCTGGCCATCGGCCTATCATGACGTTTTATGGATCGCAATGTTTCTCGTAAAAAATAATAATAAGGGCTCATTTTGGTGGACAAAGAAGTGAGTGAAACTGAGAGTTATAACATTATATGCTCATGTATGTACGAGTACATCTATGTACTTTATTTCATTCTAACAACAAAGTTGACTTCAGAATACCTACATATGTCTGGCAAGAGTCGCATGGCGCCCCTTCACTCAGCGCTGCACGGCTGCATTCTTTGTCGAAAAGCTCTCACTGCGGAAACTTCCGCGTCCCTACGGCCCTCTCGCTGAGAGCTCACTGCTTGCTACACCGTCTCGCCCGGTTAGTTAGTATTCTGACCCGGTGTTCGGCGCCGCTCCGCACCGGGGTTTCAGCCGAGTTCAGGGTCAGACCAGCCCTGTGTCTGCGTCTGTGTGGGAACAAACACGGCCAGTCCAGCTCGGCTCGAGTTTCGGCCACACTCCACTGACTAGAACTTGGTAACTCACGGTTCCAAGTTGACAAAACACGAAGGAAAACGTCGTGGTCTCCTTGTTTAATTGTGCCGTTTACCTGTTCTGGGAAACTTTTTAAGTTTTTTTATTGTTTTTTATTATGCTTTTTATTGTTCGTGAATAAGACAGTAAAAACTGAGACAAGATACCTAATTCTATTTATTCAGACATGATTAACTTTTTAGAAAATCGTTGGAGAACGACTGCCGTAGAAAACATAGGTATTTGATTTGAAAAAATAACTTTCCACCATTTCGAATACATATATACCTATATCTGCATAGTGCATTGAAAAAAAATGAGAGAAAGAAACACCTTGATGGTGAAAGTTATAAATAAACCGATTACATCAACAAATAAGCACATAATCGATCATCAGGATTGTTTGTTGTCTGCCCAACGTATTCCTGGCAGGGTCCCTATAGTAGTTGTTTAGGATACTGCAATAGGCATTTGTTTTTCTTTCGATAGGTATAGTTTCCAACATGAGGGAATTATTATGTTCGATCCGGATCGAGATAATGCTGAAATGCCTTTTATAGTGTACCGATCCTGAATTGCCTTCTGAGAATATGTAAAAAAATTAACAGATCGATTTAATTTCGAAGTCAGTTTCCAAACAACGATGGCAGAGGCACTCCTGAAGCACCGTCAGCCTGGCGCCAGCCATTGTCTGTCGTGCGTTCCGTTCTGATTTAACAATTGAAACGTCTCACATCTCTTTCACATTCACAGCTGCCTTCTAAATGTCTTCTACTGCCTTCTAAATGGATATGTAAAGAACGGTTTGCAATTCAACGTAAATAATAAATGTTTTATTTTTAAGACATTCACAGAACATTTATATGCCTGACATTTATAAGCACTGTGACTATGTAATTGAATAGAATACTTTATAACAAGATGTTTACATTTACTGCCGCATTATTCGTCAATCCATGCATTCTTCAAATAAAATTATTGTCGCAAAACAGCATTTATCTATTTAAGTAATTATACCTAGCATGCCCGTCATTATAATTCTGCATTCTACGAGCCGAAGCACTTGACCCGCAGCTACTCACTGTAGGTAATATTTATCCGCAGTCGGCACCCTTACCTACCTTCCTCACTCGGTTATATCATGTCAAGTAACCACACTATCTGAAAATCAAAATAAACGGTGCGCTCATAACCCAAACAAACCGCGCTGGTGGTAGCTCGCTGCCCTGACCGCGACATTAACCGTCACGGGAGTCTTGATGCCACCGGCACTGGTGTGGGTCCTGAACCGACAGTTTGTTGATACACATATCATAGTGGGTCCCAGGCGGACGGTCGCCACGACTGGACTACGTCAACTGACCAGCTGACAGCGTGGGAACGGGGAGCAGGCGGCCGGTCTGCTGGCCTGCAGCACGCGCTGGATTGGTGTAGAAGTGCTGTTACGTGCAGTGTGCAATGCGCATTGCGCAATGTTGTGCGGTTCGGTGGCTAATCAGTACCTACCTTGCATTATTGAATGTGGTCGCCGTGCAAACAGACAGCAAAGCCGAGCAACGTGTATTTTTAATGTGCAAGTATATATTGGCAAACGAGGAAATTATACCCGGACGCGTGCGTCGTGCAGGTGCACGCATGAATTTGTGCACGCAGAACTGAAGTGATGTAACGACTTATACGTCACCAGTTTAGTAAGTTACCAGAAGCGGCACTGTGTCTCACGGTCTAATTGAACTAGATAAACTCTAGTTAAACTCGGTTCCAGTGGTCCGCACTTCTTTTATCCCATAGACGCCAGACGGTTCGAATTAAAGGGACCCTCCCACCTTCAAAAATGTTAATGAATTGGCATGAAAGTGATGTCGCTCTGTTCAGAAAGAGCGAAAACGAATATCTACCAAATTTCATCGAAAAATATTCACCGGTTTTCAAGATATTAGACTTTTACTATTGTTTACTTTTTGGGATCTCCGCTGTTCCTAGCGACTTTATTTGAAAGTGCGGCATTTGTTGCGCGCAAAGCAGCATATACCACCGCGTGCTACCAAACGTTTTAGTAAAAGATTTAAAAATCGTTAGATCTCCGCTGACGTCACAAATTCTAAGGGGGCACACCAATGCATTAGCCCCTTAGAATCCGAAAACTGCAAGTTTGAAATTCCATATCTCCGAATTAAAGCATTTTTCGATGTTGTGAGTGCCCAAACCGGTATTTTCAGGCCATGGCCACCAATTTGGCTATCTCAACTCAAAACTAATGTTAAGGTGGGATGGTCACTTTAAATACCAGGCGACACTTTCTGTTTCAGCCAAGGGAAGTGGGACGCAGCTCTCCCAGGAAAATCGGATTGGCCGTGGCAAACAGCAAGTTTTTTTAAGACGGTTTTGATCGTTAATGAGGGTTGATGAAATGCGACTTTCCAAGGAAAACGCGGATGGCAACTAGCAAGTCACCCTGCCCCTTGCAGCTGAGCAGGCCCGGACAATGAGATGCACCCATCCATGAGTCATGAGCCCCGCTGCACCACATGACGTTCCCGGCATTCCTCTCCATGACGTGACCCCGGCATCCATTGTCAGCTGACTATCCGGAAGTGGCCATTGGTTCGCCAGAGTGCGGCATTCACGCCATTTCCTGTCCGGGTGCAGCCAGTCTCGCGTCTGTCCGTCTCGCGTCTGTCCGTCTGTTCATGGTGTTTGCTCGGGAGAACGGAGCCTGTAAGACGGAGTTTTTTGTTTCTGCCATCGCGATATAATGTCAGCATAAAGCATTGCGTTGTGCATGTACACACGCTTGGACGTGCGTGCTCTTGTAGTGATTGTACTGTATGTACATTGTGCCTATAACCTACAATGTCTTTTATTTATGTGTTTGTGCACATTTTAGCTCTCGGGATTTAGGCAAGAAGGGTGCCTAGCTTACCGTAAGTGCAGCAGGTGCCAAGATACCGAACTTTTCGCATCAAAGTCGTCTTTTCCGATTGATCAGCTAAAATCAGTGTGTCAGTGCCACCCAAAGGCCAAAACTACCCACCCACAGTGCTACCGGCCGTGCACTCTCTTTGCACGCCGTGCACGTTTTCCCGTGCACTGTGCAATGATGTTTTCTCCGTCCCTGCACCGTCGGGGAGCACTCCTCTCAGATCGTGCCGGGACCCTACGGATCACTGCTGCGGGGTTGCGTGACCGCTCATCCCTGTCCCGAGACGGTCGGCTTCTAATGCGCCGTCCAGCCTCTCTGGTACGCTCAGAAAAGCCACGGTCGCTGTCCTTGGGTGCCGCCTCTCCTCAGTTCTCTCTCCTCACAGCCTTCGTCGACCGGCTGGCCGGGCGGCCCCGTCCCAAATCGGGTCGTCAACCCTGAGGCGCGTGACCCCATGACCCGGCCTCGGCGGTGGTAGGGTTGCAACGACACATACATGACCCGACAGCGAGCCGGCAGCCAGGTATGCAGTGGAAGCCTCGCGTTTTTGTGCCCACCAGCCGGGCTGACGGCGGCTGGTACCGGGGCTCGGACAAAAGGTGAGTAACCCCACCTGTTTGAACAGTCAAGCAAAAGGCTCGCTGCAGATGCTCATCATTGTTACACTAAAAATATTAACAACGTCACACACCATATATGAAGGAACTTACAATAAATCCCTAGGCCGTATATAAATCCCCAGACCGACGACCGACACTGAACGAGCAGCCACCGTTTCTCAGGCTGCCGTTACTCCCGTCCGCTCGAGCGCCTTTCTAATGCATTCCAGGACCGGTTCGACTCGTTGGGGGCGCGTTGGGCCGCCGTGCGGCGCGGCCGGTTGCGCTGAGAGCCGCGCGGCTTCGACTTCAGCCATCAGTGGAGTCCGGAGGCCGCCGCGGTCCGCACGACAGTGACCAGAGTGGGTGAGACCGCGAGTGGAAAGTGCGTGTGTGTGAGTTATTGTGTGAGACGGACAGTGAGTGTGTGTTGGGAGGGGGGTTGAGGAGAGTTAGCCAGCGCCGCCACTGACCGCATCCTCCCTTCCGAAGATCCTTGTTCCGATCTGCGCACAAGATCGGAACTCACCAAACCGGTTTCCGAGCCCGCCTGTCGCCGTACAAAGAATCGCGGTGGCTCATACGGAGTCCGTTGGAGCCGCCGCGGACGGGGGTCGCCCCGAACAACACCGCGGCTCGTGCAGCCCGGCGCTGGACTGGGCTCGTCATCACTGTGGTGACGCAGTAGCGAGCCTCGGGGACGCGTCGTTTGCCGCAGAGGCAGTCGGTAACACGTAGAATGTGCTGCGCCATTGCTCAGGCATCGTGTAGGCAGAAACGGCGTATGCCACACCAGGCATAGATTCTCGAATTGAATATTCATGCAGTCAGCTGTATACTCGAATGGGCGTTTCAGCGGGACCAGTCACTTTCAGATCGCCCGCGTTGTTCAGGAATGTGCGCAGTGCGCACCCCTGCCGGCCCTGCCTGCATTCCTGCATTTTTCCGCCCGGCTCCGCCCCCGTCCCCGTCCCGGTGGACCGACCATTTTCCGAGGTCCATCCCGTTGAGCACCCAGCTCACGAAGCGCCGTAAATTGGCACACCTCTGTCGTCGGCCGGTCTTTCAGTTTCAATCCACAGCGGCGAAAGTTACCGCACTATGACCCCCAAGGAGTCTTCAATCAATCAGACGTTGGCATGAACGGAAACCAATTTTCGCTTCTGGATGAAAACAAACCCGCCAAGCTCGCACAGGGGATATTGTCTTATAGGCGACATAGGAGCAAAAAGATTGGTTGGTTACAATTAAATTGAATACCAAGCGTTTGCATTTTTACGGCGAATCTGTTAGCAAACCGGTAATGTTAAAACGTAAAACGTAAACAGTTTAACGCATCCGACGTTTAAGGCGATTTTGCCACGGATTAATTGTCGATAGCGGAGATCCCTGACGCCAGCTCAGATTAGAGTCCAAACTCTGCCCCAGGTCCAGTCCCAGCCTTAGGTCACAGCCCTGCAGCCATAAATCATAACCGCAACTCAGCCCAGCCCGTACCATCTACAGCCTATCTCCGTCGTTTTTGTCCGTGCAGGCACCTGTCGCCGGATGCGGCCAAGTCGCCGAGCACTTCACCTGGCTGTTCTCTTCTTATGATCTCGGCACCAATCGAATGGGTTTGATGACCTTCGATGACCTGACGTGACCTCAAACAGGTGGTATGACATTTTGCTAGTCGCCTTGTAAACAGAGGTCACCTTTCCTTTGTGACCTATATCTCGTCCCTTGACGTTATACATGGTTGCACCAGGCACCTTATGTCTCTGTCCGTTTAACGTTCCCAGTCCCATGTTCAAGATCATCACATTTACCTGTCTGTTGTGCCAAGTCAGCTCCTTGCAGCCCCAAGTGCTCTAAGGATTGTAGCCCCAAGTGCTCTAAGGATTGTAGCCCCAAGTGCTCTAAGGTGACCTGTATTGTAGACTGGTTCACATTTATAGACCGCTTGGGACGTTGGCGCATTGTTCAAGCCGGTCTGTCTCTTTTTAGGATTTTGAATTGGACATATTTTCCGGGTCTTTCCTGTCTACAAGACATTTGCGTGATCTATCGTTTCCCTGACGCCTACTGTTAACGCCAGACCCCTTGAGACCCTAATTTTTCGCGATTACTTTTAAATGCGTGAAGGAATTTCAACCAAGCTCAGGACATGGCCGTTTCAAGACAGGCCGAAACTTTTACAATTTAGATATTTTATCGCCATTTCAATATTTCAGGCACTTGTCATTGACTCGTAATGTTAAATTTCGAGCAAGATTTTCATCCGGTGTGTAGAGGCTATCACCAGTCAGTCTGTGATACGTTATGACGTCACAGCTAAGCCCCGCCTCTGTGGTCTTGGCCTGCGGCGGTTTCGGGCCGGCGCGCGGTCACTCTCGCTGTGGCGGGGAGCGTGGACGGGCGACGGGCGAGCGGTGCCGAAAGCCGGCGGAGTTGTGCGTAGCGTCTTGGCTGACAGTGCCCAGAGAGCGACATGATGACTAAGGAGTCATAAATGCTCAATGCGCATTGCTTCTACAATGCGCATTGAGCATCCACCACTCAATGCGCATCCACCACTCATGTTCGCTGATATATTTTTTTTTTTATAAGCTGCAAATGACGGGCAGATGGCATATAACTGACATAAGGTTAGGAAATATTCACCTGTATTTAAAGCCTATGGCGTTGCAGATAATGCGATAATGGGATGTCGGATGTCACCAAGTAGCTGCCGATTTGTACATCGCTATGCAACCATCGAACAACGCAATAATAAGTTAATTGCCTGAGCTTCACATCATACGGCTCGCTCGTATTTCAAACAGCTACCCTACATCGAAAATCGTATTTGTTAGGAATCGTTAACGTTTGTTCGAAGCACGACTGAGTAGTAGGTTGAGGAGTGATGATCCTCTTGGTCCTATATACAAGAGTCAACAAGAGCCTAACATTTACTTGACCGTCTGCTGCAATTGACTCATAGCACGTGAAGCGTCAGCGAAATTCATAGTCCTTCACAGATGGCAGGGGTGTCGTTTGTACAGAGGTCGCTGATGGGCACGGGTCAATGCCGCAGTCGTGGGCGGAGCCTAATGTCATATGACGTAGAAAGCCTCTATCCAGGATGGAAAAACAGTTAACATTACGAGTCAATGACAAGTGCCTGAAATATTGAAATGGCGATAAAATATCTAAATTGTAAAAGTTTCGGCCTGTCTTGAAACGGCCATGTCCTGAGCTTGGTTGAAATTCCTCCACGCATTTAAAAATAATCGCGAAAAATTAGGGTCTCAAGGGGTCTGGCGTTAACAGTATACGCTTCGAGATTCAACTAAAACGTTGCGAACTGAAAGTTGCAACCTGGCAATGAGGCTGATGTTCACTCCCAGTAACTCATTGGATGGAATTGCCTGCATGGGGATAAAATGTCAGGATGTCCTGGGACGTGCTTGACAGTGTTAGACAGTGCTTGTCGCCAGTCCCTCGGTCGGCCATCTGCACCTGTTGCAGGTTACAGGTGCAGTTACCTGTTCACTGTTCAGCAGTGCCTATCTAATTGGCGAGTGACCGGAATGACCTTAAGGTGAATTCATGGAAAATCCCTGAAGGTGGAAGCAGTCGACAAGCAGCCATATTTAACCCTTGGAATAGGGCGAGGCAGTAAGCTAAGCTCGCATGTTTCACGTTGAAGGTTGCGTGGAGCATGACTGTGTCTTGGTCTAGTGTCTACGGGCCAGGGTCAGAGATCCACTCATACCGATGCAGGAATGCAGGCTTTCTGTGCCATTACCTCCATCAGCCCACTGCACTGAGCTCACTGCACGCTGCACACGTGCAGTGTGCACGTCGCTCATGTGCACGGTGAAGACGGGTCGGCGTCACTGACAGCCACCTGCCGGTGACCGGGTTCCCGCGGCCCGCATTCCAGCGGTTTCCGGCAGTGCCAGTGCTGGGAGTGGGACCAGCGGCGGATACAACTCGGCGTCGACTGGACGCTGGCCGGCTGGACGGGTTTGTCCGCGCTGAGCGTGACGCTAACCGTGACGTGACGTGACGTTAGCCGTGACGACGTGATGTGACGGAGGTGTGAAAGCGGGCCGTCACATCGGTTCGTATCACGCGATAATAGCCGTTTTCACGACTGCCATCTGGTACACATTTGGTGCAGATTAGGTGCAGATTAGGTGCATATTTGGTCAAATTAGGTTCAGTGTATCTCTTAGAAGCTATCAGCTATAGGGTTGCACTAAATGCTTATATGCCTCCTTTGTCATATTATCAGAGAGTATCATCGATTAAAACACTGACATAGTTTCATAAAATGAATATATTCGCTGTAAAAGAGATCAGGTGCAGATTTGGTCAAATTGGTGCATTCGCCGGATTGCCCGTCGTGAAAACGGCTATTACCGTGAGGCTCCCGTCACCCTGACGGGCCTGTTTTTAAAACCAGAGCGAGAGGCATGTGGGCGAATTGGTGCGACTATGGACACTCTTCGGGTCGATTTCGAGTTCTCGACTGGCCGATGAAGGCGGCAGGGAGGGAAATAAATAGTTTGTTGGAGTATGGAAAGAAGGTGGATGCTCCGTCGAGAGTCATGGATGAGATTATCCGCGAGCCATTGATGCGATTATCCGCGGTCGGTGTGACTGACCTGACCGAGCTTCCTCGTCTCGCTTGGCGGAGCAGGAGACAGCGTCTCCTTTGTCAAGGAGACCATCCCGGTCTCGACACTCCACCCGAGACTCATGGGTTTCATCGGAACGTGACATGCATTCTTGGCTGTTTAAAATTCCGCACTCAGCTGCCGCGTGCAAACAGACGGCGACGTTGTCATGACAACGCGAGGGTCAGGAACGGATAGCAGCGTCGCGGTGAATTTGATTCAACTCCCTAAAACAACCTTCGATTCAACTGCGGCTTCGTCCGCTTATCACACATCCAGGATTGGTTAAAATGACGCGCTCCGGCGCGGTTCGTGTCGCGTCATGCTCACTTCATGGACCATTTACCGCACCTCTAAGTATAGGCTCAGTTCTTGAAAAGTAGAACTGCAATATATACCTTCACTCTACAGGATGAGGTCCGGCTTTTTCTGTCGTTTCGCCGCCGCATGACGTTTGAACGTCTACTTGGGCTGAGGGTGGGGACACCCCGTTGTTCCACCCCACGAGCGACAATGGGTTGTATTTCACGGCTGGAGGCCTCCCCTGCCATCAGGTGGCCTGGTCCAGACTCGGGAACACCATCAGACCAGGGTCTGGTCGGTGGACGGCACTTGGCCCGGGTCTGCCCGCCGACATCAAACTAGACGCTTTCGTAAATGGAGTATCTCACGATTCACGAGGGCTGCCGACGCCCGGCTCTCTCATACTCCCACACAACACACGATCTTTCCCAATGCACAACGACTCGCTGAGACTCGATGACTCGCTTCCATCCCCTGGCTCATTTAAGTCTGTTTCTCTGCAGCTAAATGAATGAACTCAAGGAATGAACCCATTCTTGATTCCTGAATCCGGGTCATATTTTCGACATCCCTGAATCGTGAAACTGCAGTACGACGCATGTCAGCCTTTTCCCCAGTCCCGCTGGCGCTCATCGAAATAAACGCCATCATTCTTCGAGAGAGACGTTTTCATCTCTCGACATTCGTCGGCACTTCTTTTACTAGAACAATTTTTTTTTTCATAAGCTTCTTTGATCTCTCTCTCCCTCTCTCTCTCTCTCTCTCTCTCTCTCTCTCTCTCTCTCTCTCTCTCTCTCTCTCTCTCCCTCTCTCTCTCTCTCTCTCTCTCTCTCTCTCTCTCTCTCGCTCGCTCTCACCTCTGCGTGGGTTCTGCCGACGTTAGCTCGGCGCCTGAGGACCAGCCCCTGCCGGTACAGAATCTACAGGACGGTGTATACTTTCACACCGATGTGGCACTAGCGACGCCGGTTACAGAATGACCAAGTCTTTCTAAGTGAGCGAACCGTGAGGTTAACCGAGGGCAGGGGATACTCACTGACACAGGATAAGCCATCCGGTTCATCCACCGTCCTGCAGAGATTCACAAATGGCTGCACCACCGCCACCGGTCACCGGCTGGATGGCTGGGCGGTAGTGGCGGCTGGTCAAAGCACGTGACATTTGCACTGTATTCAGTGGAGCGATTGTCCCCTCAACGCGACAGGGGCCTCGGAGCGCTTCGGGGAACGTATTGATGAAATATCGACGAGCGAAGAGACCTCACCGTCGAACTAACATCAGTAGAATTTTCGGGTACTGTCGGCTACCATCTGACGGAAAACGATACACTTCCGTGCGCTAATTAGCATTCTTCCCATCCACCCCTCTTCCTGCCGACTGCCCTCTCGACCCCGCCCCTCCCGGTCTTCCCACCTTCACCCCATCCACCTGCCGCCCGCCGACTTCGCTCGCCGGCGCTAGTTCCGGTGACGGCCGGTGGCGTCGCTGGCGTCGCGGAGTAACGAACGCCGCGAGCCAAGGCCGCTGCGAGCCGCGGGCGGCGCGTCGCGGCTCCAGTCCACTCCAGTCCAAGGTCCAGTCCAAGTCAGGTGGCGGCCGACCGGCTTTGTGCCGCAAGAGACTGACGGCGTTCTTTTCCAGCGAGTCCAGTGAGCGAGCCGGGCGGCGGCGGGCGTGCCCGAGAGCGTCTGTGATAAACTCTGTGAGTGGGCCGCGGAGGCCGCAGCATCGGCATCGGAGCGTGCACGTGCAGTGGTAGCGGCTGGTGCTGTGTCGGGTGGTGACTGGTGCCGACCCGGGAGATCAGTGATTGGTGACGACCATGGGTGCCCAGGCGTCTCACGAGCCCCTGGAGCAGAGTGTGGCACGGGTGAGTACCTATACCTCGTTATCGTAAATTGTGTCTTGTGGGTGATTGTTGCGGTGGTTGACTGAGACATGGACACATCAAGTTGAAGTCCGTGGTAGTAATACCTGATTCCTGTTGGCTGTTGCTGTTGTAAGTTGAGTTGGTTCAGGCTGATGCTGGTAAAGCCAAGGCCCTTATTTAAGTTTTGATTATATTATAATTCATAATATAGATCGACTAGTGGACTGTTCAAAATAAGTTCCACTGCAATGTTGATGTGACTTATTTTGATGGGACGTCAGCGTGGCACGTGCGACTTAGCCTTTTTGGAGGGGGGGGGGGCACACCAATAACCATTGACCAATGACCAGCTTATAGGCGTGGCAAGGGCTGCGCGCAGGGGCGGATCCAGAAAATCTCCAAGGGAGGGGCCATTAGAAACTAGAAACCAGGAGGCCCCCCCATAATCCCACCTGTTGGAGGCCCCATCTTCCCACTTGTTGGCCCCCCCCCCAAAAAAAACTGCGTCTATTGAGCTTATCTAGCTGTTCAGGCAACATCTCAACATCTGTGCAGGCTTGGAGGCCCTCTGTGCAGGTTAGGAGGCCCTGTAAAAGTGGTCATCTCTGTGAGTATAAGAGACCTCCAAGTTATGAAAAGCTTTACCAATCTTCTAACAAAGAAGTCTTCTCAGCTAGTCTTCTAAGAAATAACTAAGTGGGTAGGTTAAAAAAAAAACTCATCGGATTTCGGCCACTTTATTTTCAGGAGGCCCCCTTTTCAGCTTTTTAACTTTTTAACTTTTTATTTTATTTTTGAAAAAAAAAATCGGCTAAGGGGGGGGGGGCATGGCCCCCATGGCCCCCCCTTGTATCCGCGCCTGGCTGCGCGTCACGCCCATCGGTATCGTGACGATGGATATTGATCCGTGAATCAGGACGGCTTACCACTTACCAGTTAGGGGAAGTTGGGGCAATGCCGGAGTTGGGGCAAAGCCGAAATTCGAGATATTTCGAAAACCGTAAGACATGGATGCCACCTGTCAGTGATGCTCTGAAGCTTAAGTGACTACAATTATCGCATGTTTGTTACGAGTCGTCATTGGGAATACTTCGACTGTGAGGGCGCCAAGAGCGTTTTCAAGGTACGTTTCCCTTGTACTACATGCGCCTTTGAAGCTGCATTTCTTACTCATTATGCTACCGTTTGTCTGGCCAATTCGGTCAAGTAATCTTTAGCATGTCTTTGCATAAGTGTGCTGCCTATTTGAAATTTATACAGCACGTTGAAAAGTTATGGGCCTGCAAATGAAAGTATGGCTGGCTGGGGTAATGCCGAAAACGTGCGATTACGCACTTGTTAAAAGCACGCTACGTGGACTTTACTGCTGTAGAATAGCAACGCGTATTTTTAGTCACACAAATTACACTTTCAACCGACACAACGGCCTGTTACCTATAAGGAATAATTTACCTGGCATTTTCTTATTATATCACACAATTATAACTTCCAGTGTGCACCGCGTCCTCAAGCTCTTAAAACGCGTGTCAGCTTTGATGAATTCTGGATAAAGTTTGAGATAAACTGGCAAAACATCAATGTCGGCATTCCCCGTAGATCATTTATCCCATTTTCGGCTTTCCCCGCAGTCCGGGGCAACGCCGAAAAAGTCACTTCTTTGATATTTTTAGTTTGTGCGCTTAAGGGTATGCGAATTCATCAAATGCGCCTGGTATGTTTGAAAGGCAAAAGACTGGCCTCTCGAATGACGCCAACAAGAATAGCTTATGTTGTCTACCTTGCGTGCCACGGGCGTCAGAAAAAAAGTCTTCGGCGTTCCCCCAACTTCCCCTACCGATAGGGTTAGGCGATAGTGTTGGGATTGTTCGTGCACCCAAGAACTAATGATCGGCCAAAGTATGGAAAATTCTCCTCGAATCTGACCTGACCTGACCTTGCAGTAACGAAGCCAGCGACTGGATTCCAGAAGTTAACCTCCCAGGACCCAGAGTCGTATCCTAATCCCTGTTTAGCTGGAGCAGCAGCTGAAGCGTCGAACGTCTCGGCCATCCGGTTCATTAGCTCCAGCTCATCTGTGGCCGAAGTGACAGGTTCGGTCGTTAGACATTAGTCCGAGGACTGCACGAATGTTATTGGCACCGTGCCAGGCGTCACAGGGCTTCCTTTGGGACCTTGCGGGGGAGGGGCTGCCGAAATAGACGCAAGCAGGGACCTCCCGGTCAGATTGAGCCCGGTTTGGTAACGGGGCATATTCTAAACTGTGGATAGTGCCCAATAATGTACGTTTATCTACTTATATGATTTTCAACAGCTTTGTTCTGAATGTTAGCGATTGATTATTTGAAAAGAATAGGCAGCATCGTCTCAAGGCCGGCTTTTTCTGCGATATAAAATCAGTCGAGTCACTGGGATGTTGCATGCAAGTCTGTCAATAATCTTTCATTTCTTGAACCTCACAGGCTATAACAGCTACTGAGACTGAACAGTAGTCTATGCACTTAACCATTGTATCTTGTATCAGTCGTCCCTCTCTATAAAGTTTACATTAAATTTACTGTGTTAATGACTTACAGAGCGTTGTGTGCACGATTTGAGCATGCATTAGCTTTGAATTCGATAACTGGTGAAGCACTGGTTGCAACACTGTGTTGGCAACTGTCTGAAAGGATCTTTGGAGTGAACTTTTCAATACGCTGACTGAAAGACTAATCGCCTTTGATGCTTCCAACTTGCTGTAACACATTTAAACGATGTCAGTGTCTGTACCTACTTCTTGTTCTGTCAGACGCTGCACACATTTCAAACGTTTGTTTTCTCTTTAGGCGTACTTTGAAGTGAGCTTCAAAGTGTGTTCAGTTTGACTCAGATACCATTGAAGCACACAGCATCTCAATATAGGTCTCGTCAGCTGCTATTGTTTGGATGAAATGTCCTGTAGATCTGACGGTCGTCCCCCGCTCCCCGTCCTCGCCCCGCCCACTGTCCTCCGAAGCGGCTTTGCAGGGAGTGGGGCGGCCACTGGGGAGGGGGGATAGGAGGGGGGGACTGTTAGACACGTGCGATTTGTGAGGACGGTACTTTTCTCTCGGTTAGGTGAGAGGGTGGTCTGTCTCACGTCTGCCATTCAGCATGAATGGTTCAGCCGACCCGTCATACTCCGTCCCATTGAACCAAACCATTCGGTTCAGCTGTGATATCTGGCTGTCTGATTCTACCCGAATTTCATGGTCCAGCCGCAATGTCTTGTCCAACTGATTTGAGCGAATGAGTTTATGGCAAAGGACAAAGGTTAAGTTGTTCGCAGGTCATTGATGGGAAAAATGTAATGTGAAAATGCCACACATCCTGCCCTGAGTGCCCCTGGGGCCGAGCAAGCGGTGGGCGTACTCCGTGCCAGTTACGAAAGCAGCTCACTGCCATTAATCTTCATCAAAGATGCCACTACATCAAAGGCATCAAAGGTCCGATGAGTTGGGCTGGGCTAGCAGCTCGGCTTGTTTGCCCCTGAGGGACGTCCCTGACCCATTCTCACACCCAATCCTTCCCACTAGCTACCATTGACCACTGAGCGGTGACCAATGACCACTGACCAGTGACCAGTGACCACTGACCACTGACCAGTGACCAGTGACCACTGACCACTGACCACAGAACTTCTCTCGGCCCCGCGTGACCTCGGTCCAGCGTCCACCGGGCGCCGCATATTCTAGACATGACGTCATCGCGCGACCCACCCACAGCTCTGGTGACGTCAGCTGACCCACCTCGATGACGTCATGTGTCACGTGACCCGGACAAGGTCACCGTTCCACGAACACCGAGAGACGTGCTGGCAACCATCGTATTTCGTCGCTCGGCAGGGCCTACGATATAGCGTGACCCTATCTCACGTAGGTATAGGCACGGCATACATCATGCCCATGATGGCGTGGCCATGGTGATTGCCCGTGCCTCTGAGCGAGATTGTTGAGGATTTTCCTAATCCCACATGCCCTTTTTGGAGAGCAAGCATCACGCCCGTGAGATCCGAGGCGTGTTTGGTGGGCGTGAGCATAGGCAATTGGCCGGGTTTGGAGAGACGGTTCGTCGCCCACCGTATCTGTTGTTGGGCAGCGCTCCCGTGGTTCTCGTGTGACTGCGGGGGGAGGGGAAGGGGAAGGGGAGGGGAGGTGGCCGTGACACAGTGGTGCGTATAATGACTGGTGATAATGGGCGCTCACTGCCACAGGCTCTGGGGCTCCGTTTGTTGTGTCGAAATTTGGACTCGGGCTGACTGGATGTGTCAATGTGTCATGGCTCACAGGATTCGTGACGTCATTACTGTAACGATTTTTTTTTTCATACGGCCTCACCGGTGTGTGCTTTGAGCTAAAATAGGTACTTTTCCTCTTTAGGAGGCAAGAGTTTCTTTGCTGATATAAACCATTTCATGTCTGAGATGCTAGTATCATAGTTTAGGTTTTATTCGATTACGCGGCACAAACAAAAGAAGCTGAAACTAAAACAGCGTTGGGTATCCGTGAAAACGGTGGCAGCATGTGGCAGGTTCTAGCCTCAACTCGTTTTCTGTTATTCATCACCTCTTTACGTCATACCGATGTGTTGAGTCAATCACAACCGATGATGAATCCTATAGCTTATTACCGATTCCATCCGCCATGGCCTCCGCCACAGCCGGAAACTGGCTGCATATACGGCACAGAGCAGCGATCGGCGATAGGCGCGGCCCCCTGGTGACGTCACGCTCTGCCCCTGATGACGTCACAGTGCTGACCGGTTCTCACCGGGCTAGGCAGGTCTGTACTGCGGTGCAGTGGAAATGGGGTGCATTTGAAACGGTGGCTGATGAAACAGGACATTTAATTTTGATATGAGTGATTGTGTAGGTGACGTGCTTGGTTGTGGTGTCAGAGCTCTGCAATAGGAGACGGAGAATGCTGACCAGATATATTCATAAAAATCGAACTGAATGAGTCAGGTGACTGATGACTCATGATCTC